ATTAGGGATACCAGTACCAAGAGGACTTAGTATTATCAAATGGAGGACCCTCATGACCACAGTGGAGACCGAAAAAGTCAAATAGTTAAATGTAGGATCAAAACAAATGGTGCTGCGTTACTTTGCTTCCTTATTTCTCCAAGCCTAGTTTCAATCCCCTTCCCTGACCACTCTCCAATTTCCGGGCATTGAAATATGGTAAATACTTTAAACACTACCCGCAGACTAAAAACGGCGGTGAAAAAATCTTCACGGAGGTGGCAAGAAACACTTGAGCGTTTACACAATGTGAATTCATACATTCCAGTACAAAACAATTATGCGTGAGATATACTTTACATTTGTATTAACACGATATTTAGACTGGAAAAAATGTTTAAATAATACTTCTTTCTAAAAGGGACGGACTTATGATTAGCGGAGTGCTTTTCCCTTAAGCGCTGACAACGCCTGCGGAATCTGGCGCTCTCGAGCTGTCTTAATAGCAGCAGAACTTATTGCTGTGTTGTCACTGACAAATTGATGGGCGCCTTCGGAGGAATTGTAACATAAAGACATCCTACTGTGGAGGAGCGCTCTATCATTGTATTGTAACCAAACCCTTCTGTATATACGAGTTGAATCCTTATTTAGGCTTAACTTTGCCACACTACCCGTTTTCGTGAGCAAATCACAAATATCCCTAAACTCCTGGTTATGATGGTGTCGGAACTGACCTACAACCTGTCACCAGCCACTAGCAATAAGACAGAGCTGTCACATATTTTTGGATATATTGTTATTGAGAAAATATTCCCTTCTCGCACCTACGGTATACACAACTTCACTTTTATTGAAACACTCTTGCTAAATTAACCACCCTCGTAGTTCACAATGCAGTAACTCAATGAAATCGTTTAGAGATATGTTCAAAACCACAAATCACAGTAAGCACTTTTTCACAAAAAAATTTTTAGCAAAATGGGGATTCTCCGCAAAGAGCAGTTTGTATTCGAAAGTGGAGTCACAGTGATCGGGACAAGGTGGATGATTAGAGGTCAATTTTTAATTCAGTCAGACAGATCCAGTAAAGCGAACCATATTTTATTAGAAAAAAAGACCAAGTTCTATCAAGTGGTTGTTGCTTATCAAGTTTAACTCTTTCTCAAATGGTCAAACCATTTGTCGATACGGTTGACAGCATGTTATGTAGCATTCCATAATAGAAAGCATGGGACATGGATTTTTAGCTCCCACGTATTTTTCACCGTTTGGAAAGCATAAACTTGTTTTTATCAGGGTCAACGCATTTAATGAGGATGCACGATTTGTGGAGGCTCACGGTAATTACCGTTAAATTTAGCTAAAATTCTCACCATGTACAGCCAACAAATTTCCTAGTCAGGGCTGTGAACATTGTGATCAAAAGTGTAAGCGCACGGCTTTACTAGAGTTTATATTGAATGCATTTTTTGGCATATGTCTTTTTAGATTAGAAGAATAATGTATTTACCTAAATATGGTCCCATTTTTATTAAATAACGTTGCCACTTGGTATAGGCCAACCATTGATCCAGCATTTCTTGAACTATTTTACCAAGAGGCAAAATACCCCTATCACTGCCTCTTAGACCTGCAAAACTACTAGACGGTGCAATTCATCTATCGGCGTCAGCATCATGACACCTAAGTTAAACTGATTTTTAAGACGCGGGTTTTTACATTTATAGTAAATTTATCTGCGACGATGTGTAAATTCCTGCCAACAATCAACTTTGTTTAATGAGGAAGTTTACGTTTTAAAAGTAGAAGTTAACGGTCAAGACAAAGCATAACCTAAATAAGCTTTACAAATGACAATTGAAAATATCATAATAAACTTGAGGGCAAACCACTTAGCAAAGTATGACAAATGAACTTTCTCTACATTCATTTTCATCGCTTTAGAGCCGAGGTGACGGAATTGGGTAAGAATTTGCACCTTCTTTCCGAGCATTGATAAACTATTGGGAGATTGATTGTTGGTTCTGTTCTCTTAGGCTGATAAGAAGTAGATCTCTTGTATTGTTAATTCCATCATATGTTAGCAAAAACACTTCACTTTAAGTTTTACAATCCAAAAGCACCTACTGATAAATTATCTGATAAGGCGTAAGGGTAAAAAGACGGGCAGAAAATGAGGCATTCCAAGTACTTCCTAAAAAATACTGTTACGAAATATCTACACTCTGCTCCAGTTTAGGCTTAAAGAGAGAAAAAGTGGGAAGTACGCATAAGAAATGGTGCATACGACAATCTTCTCGTTCGATGGTCTCAGAATCCATCTTCTTATAAGGAATGACACAAGAATATAGCAAAAACGTAGAGAAAAACTCCCAAAAATTTACTTTAGGAACCCATATTCGCGTTTACTGTTTAATTAAATTATGCGAACGAGTTGTAAGGCTGCTTCTAAGGTTAAGTCCTCACAATTTAATCCATTTGCCAGTCAAATGCAAACATATGGACTAAATTGCGTTCTTTTTTTCGAATTTTCATACAATTTGGTTTGACTCATAATATGTCCTCGTAGGAAATGCCAAATAGCTTGATTTGGCATTCCACTTTATTGCAAATAGATTTAATTTTATCCGGCAGCACTTTGATGCATTCGAGTTTTATTGCATGCCAGGTTCCAATTAGTCAGACTAGAATTATTTAAGCCATAAAATCGTCATCATAACCAGTTTAGCATCTCAAAGAAACCCCTGGAATTCTACTCTTCCAACGCAACACCAGTTATTCTGGAGTAAATTGCTTTATTCGCAACGCCATTTGGTGTAATCAGTCATCGTAACTTAGTAAAGGACCCTTGCTAAGTATTTGTGACACTGGTTTCAGATAAGTAAAAGGAAGGTGCTAATATTTAGAGATTTCCTGTTCAAGTGATTCAGAAGGAAATGAAATCTGCCGCAACATTTAACAGAAAAGTTTGTGTGTGCGCGATACTACGTCTTCATGCAAGCCAAATAAAATTGCATTTTTGACCTGCTCTTTTGGCATTCTAGCACTTCAGCCAAATTACATTCGTGGAACGGACGGTCTTTTGCTCCAGTTCCAAAAAGGTAATAATCTCAAAAACAGCCCATTAGTTGTCCACTCTTCTCTTAGATACATTACGGATGCCTTGTAATTCCTCTATCAAAGCTGTATGCTAATTACAATGTCTTTCAAAATAATCCGGTCGCTTAGAAATGCATAAGTTAGTTTTGCATCTGATTAAAATATTAACTAGTTCTGAAATATCACTCCGCCTCCCACAGGAATGGCTTTAAATCCTAGGATTTCATTTCCGCATATCCTCACGAAAAAGTTCAAATGCCTTGTTTTAAACTAGAAATGGCTAAATTTTGCCGAACATGCTGCGATACATAACAGTTCAAACATATTTTTCCGGTGACAGGCGGAGACATTACACCATCCTCGTGACTGAGCAGAAGCTACCGATTACCAAGGGAGGGACTAGCTCTACAACTGCAACATCTCTATATTACGCAATATACTTGGTCGTCTTTCAACCACCCTTCTTGATCCAGGAGTCTAAAGTCACAGTTGGGACGAAAAAGCAGTGAGAGCACTGCCTTGCTAATACCTTCCGCACTTGCCTATTGAGTTTGAGTTAGTGAAAGGATATCACTTGGCCAATTTTAACTAAAAAATGTTTTACTACTTATAATGATAAAAAACCCAATAGTAAATAAAATCTTCAAAACCAATTTTATAAAAAACATTTAATAATAAGAAGAGTTAGATTTACATATACTTCTGCACTTTTATAGTATCTATTTACACTTGACAGATTGATTCTTGTTGCAGGTAACTCAGTCATGACTGAGCCCTTTTCATTGATACCAGTCTGAGCGTAACGGTCGCCTGTTGTTAAGATCAGCATTATTTCATTTCCTTTTAACGATCCGGTCTTTAGAAATGAAATTCGCTACAAACTATTAAAGAAAGTAAAACCCGATTCCTAGGTACCAAAGAAAACTACAAACAGTGATTTCTGCCCATTTTGTATTGCTTGCCCTCCTTTTTCTTCATTTATTGGTTTGTTAATAGATTTTGGGGCCATTTTTCCTCATTAATAAAAGACAGTGTCGCCAGTGCTTATTTTTGAGTTGCGAAATGTCACTAGCCTCCTCGACATAGCTGCTGCTAGTGCCTTTCCAGAAGGTTTGCAGCTCACTTCACCGTAGGTTGAATAAATGCCTAACTAGTTTATAATTATTGTTTTTGTGGCGAATGAGCATGTCGGTCTACTATTGGTCTGAAGATACTTCATTCATGTATTAGTAAATCTTCTAGGCAATGAAATTAAAACCAGCACCATGGCAATTTCATCAATAAAATGCAACATTTCATAAAAGACAACACAATACAATGCTAAAGAATGATGAATTTTGCAATATTCTTCTCTAAACTGTAGAATATGAAGGCTTGAGGTTAGGGAATAGCCCTTACAGCGCTATTTTAAGGGAAAAGAATACTCCTAACTAAAAAATATGGCGCAAGAACCATTGAAGTGAATAAGGGTGTCGTCTGGCCTCATTCTGCCGGATTCTTTAATCGAATTAAGATTAAATTTTGCTTCCAAGATCCTTGACGTTACCCGTTGCGACTGATTAGCTGGTGGCAATTAAAGCGCTAACAAATGACCGGATATTCAAAGCATTCTGCTTTTTCCAAAGGAAATGTATAAATGAGAAAACCTATTATTAAATAACAATGGAAACAATAAATCAAGTATTCTTTGGGATGCAATCAAGCGATTCCACTCGACGCTATGGCAAAATTAATTCCTAAAAACACATAGGCATTACCACCTCTAGTAAATTGGACTGAGCTCATTCAAGCACGGCCAATTATCCCTTAATTTTTTACACACAAATAATAAATCTACCCTTGACTGCTATCCCAACAATAATCAGTTACCCTATCTTTAAGATCCAATCAATATATCACCATAGAAAAAAAAATAGAGCTTAACAGATGGAATAGCCGAAAATAGGGGGTGAGGATGGATTTATATGTGATTTCTCATAGGGATAGAAGGACGTAAGCTAACAAAGGAAAGTTTTGAGGCTAAACACAGGTACGCACACACACAACGTTGAATGCAAAAATATTTAGGTATCCATATATTACGTTAACATCAGATAAGGAGAAGGGAGCGACAATCAAAGTGGGGTTAAACGAGGCATCTACGCAGAAGAACTGAAGTGAAAGGAGTTCGGTGGTGATTTAGTGTAGGGAAGGGAATAAGCTAGGTGCGCACTTTTGTGTTTTCCGGCGGATTGATGCCTCCAGGACCAGGCAGTGTACTATTGCCCATCAAATCTATATCGACTTGTCGGGCAGCTTGACGACCCTCGTTGATGGCGTGAACCACCAAAGATTGACCCCGACGACAGTCTGGAATGAGAGAATAATTTATTACTTACTAAACCCAAGTAAACAATCTATTGAGGGGTGAAAACAGCGTGATATCTTTGTGCCTAAAGTCCACGATTTTTTAATATGAGAAAAATGTACATTGAGTTGGGAATTTTGACATGCCTACTAGAAAAGCCTACGATCTTTTAAAGTGTTTTAAGGGATTCGAAAATTTCAGCAAATCCTTTTGACTAAAAAACAATGCATATGAATATCCTACATTTCCAAACTTAAAAAATGCATGAAAGCTTAATGTAAACCAAGTGTTTTTAATGCTTAAGCCTTAGCTATCAACCGTATTCAAAGCAGTTATTTAAAATATGTAAGCCCAAGTGGTTAATTAAGAATGAAGTCTTATCTTACACTAGGGGAAATACTCTTTTAAGGGAATGGTTGGCTGGAAGTTAAAACCGAAAATAAATGAAGAATGGGCTAGTAAAGGTTAATACCATCCCGATTTTAGCCTAAAAAGTTGGTCAAATACGAGAATTAGTAGTTTAAGCTTGTCTTCGAGTAAAGATTTTATATATTTAAATAACCAATGCATGTTTCGGGAACTAATAAAATCGCTTTTTCTTACACTCCTGTAAAAACTGATGATTATGTGTTCACTTTAAGTTTTACAATCCAAAAGCACCTACTGATAAATTATCTGATAAGGCGTAAGGGTAAAAAGACGGGCAGAAAATGAGGCATTCCAAGTACTTCCTAAAAAATACTGTTACGAAATATCTACACTCTGCTCCAGTTTAGGCTTAAAGAGAGAAAAAGTGGGAAGTACGCATAAGAAATGGTGCATACGACAATCTTCTCGTTCGATGGTCTCAGAATCCATCTTCTTATAAGGAATGACACAAGAATATCTTTCAGTAGCAGAGGTAGTGGAGAAGAGTTTTTCCCACTAGCTTCGCAAATCGACCAACCTTTTAGGCAGCTGGTAAAAAGTGTAGAGACAGAAAGTGAACAGACTTCTAAGTCAATGTTTACAATGAATTTATGGGAAGATTTGCCACCAGCACAATGGAAGTAAAAGAATTCAAGCAGCAGAGAAGTGGAAAGATCTTTTTCATTCCTTCTCCAAGAATGATAAAAGAGGGAAAGAGACCCACCTCCAGCAGCGTACACCCGTGGCACAGAAGTAGAGAATTTACCACTCGCTGTCTTGACATTGGACCATGAGTCAGCCGTCAGGTTCAGCTCCTCAAGAATTGATTTCTCCGGTCCCAGGAAGCCCATTGCCAAGAGGGCCATGTCACACTCAATCGTCTTCTCTGTGTCTGCAGAAGAAAAGTAAGACGTCAACAAATAGGGAGGCTTTAAGCAGTCTTCAATGCTCCTGAAGGTCAGCTCCTCGTCACGTTTTTCAGAGGCTTCTGCGGAGGCTAAGCTTGACTTTAAACAACGGACTTCGTGAATAGCCTTATTCATACATTTTGGGCTGCCAGTGAAGGTGTGAACAAGCGGTGCTTCCCGTCGGGGTTAAAGAATGAAGCTTTAAAAGTTTTCGTCAAATAAAGGATTGATCTAAAACTGTCGTTCTTACCCAAATATTTATTGATGATTTTCCTGTTATCTATAAATGTATCAAGGTCAAATGTGCATTTTAATAAAGGTCAACGAAGTGCATGATACAAGAGAACCTAATAATTCATTAAATTGTAAGGCAATTCACTAACTTCAAATCAATAACATTCAGGAGATTGAGTGGACATTTTTAGTTGAATAGAAATTTAACATTAAGATCTGCAACCTCTACACAAGTTGGCAACTTCTACATCAATCAAGATCTGACCTGTGAGACAAATATCTCCAAAAGCTTTCACCTCGGATAAAAGGGTTTGAAAATCTGCACTTTTCATGGGTTCATAGTTATATAGGAGTTTTTTGGAACTCACATTACACTCGCTTTACAATCACGACTTGCTCCGAAACTCTCCGACTATTCACCTGCTACTTAGAAGTCAAAATACCAAAAACCACTACAAGACTAAGCTAGAGTTCTGAACACGGTTTACAGCGATACTTTAAACCATAAGATTGATGTAAAGGGATCCTGTAATGACTTACTTTCCCCAGCTGTACAGTTCCCTAAATTTTAGCACATAATACTGCCATTCGCATACATATAAGTGAAATTCGCTGCCCTCTTGGGAGCTTTAAAATTTCTAAATCAACTATACATTTATTCAATAGATTTGTAATATTATTCTTGAGATAAGAATTTTACTATCAAGTCCACAGAACTACGCCAGTTTTTCGTATCATATTATTCCCCAAATTAATCTGAACAAGTTAAGAATCCACAACCATTGTAAACTAGTTTTAAAATACAAAGTTACTTGATAAAATCAAGCCCATTTATAAGTCCATAGACTGGCCCTTAGGTTACCTTTTGAAATGATCTTAGGAGCTTCAACCATCTTCAAACCGATGAAGAATGTGGAGAGGATGACTAGCTATTTTCAATACCATTTTCAAGATATTGCATACCTGTAGCTGTCAAGGAATTGGAAAACATCTTCCCACTTTTATCTACGATTTGTGAATGGTCTACCGCCTCTGAACTATTCAAGAGTTTTTAGATTGGCCTGCGAGGTATAAAATTAATTTTGTTTAATATTAGTTTGCTTCTTTAACTTTGAAATGTGACCTCAATAGCAAAAGGTGAGAAATACAATAGGAAACTTCATGAGGCAGAGCCCCCAGATAGACTCCCCTAGTCAAACAAAATCTCGGACAATTTGATGGGGCTCTAAACGACATGGATATAACCCAAATACATTGCTCTCTTGATTTTCAGTATACAATAATACTGAATACTCTAAATTGCTCTTTCCATTCCGACGTTTACCAAGAGAACGATTACCTTCCCCCAGGCTTTTCCGAAGTATCTCAGTCACTCCAGCATCTTTGCAGCCTCAGAAAGTGGGTTTTGTGAAAAGGAGACGAACACTCACCAGGTATCTCCACAAGCTTGGGTCGAGCGTTAGAGTCTTCACCTGCGGGCAATTCCCAGCGCACTGAGACGGTGCTCAGACCACCAAGACGGGTGGGATCGTTGGACGCGGCGACGAAAGCCTTGGTGAGAATGTTGAATGTGCGTGGGTCGCGACCGTAGTGCACTGCCACTTCCTCATGACCGTATTCCGTACGGAAGATGAGTGGCCACTCTGGCCAAGGATTCGTCCGATTATCACGACTACCCGGCGGCGTCGCCATTATTTCCAGAGTCTCCACGCTTTTCGCACCCTTTGAGTGCAATACAAAGGAAATAAATATGCGATGTATAAAGTGTAGTTACGTACCTTCACAAACGCGAAATGATTGCTATCTACTTACGGTCCTAATGATCTTGATTCTGGCGATAAGCCCGCTTTGAAAATGACAGTTACAGACAGAAGAAGGTTTGGAACGATTTAGTGAGGTAGTGAAAAACAAACTATTTCTCCTGTTTTCAGATGTAGTAAAAAGCATCGCACTTCATTTACGTAAGAAATATCATATAATGGAAGGGCTAGACTCATAATTCTGAAAACAAACATCTACATAGAACTAGACAGACTGACGGGTGGATAAACAAGCAGAGAGGCAGAGAGGGAGTGTCAACATCATTTACTTATTGGCAAACATTCAGGTGGAGAAATAGACAAGAAGACAATCAGTCGAAAAGAGGCATGTTTACCTGGAGAGGCAGGGAGAAAGGGAGAAACGGAAGGAGCATGTGAGCAGCACATGTTTGTCGCCATAAAAGCTGATTGAGGGACAGTGAGATAGAAGATGCGTAAAACTCACCTGCCTAGTAGCAGTAGCAATGCAGTCGACCCCAGTATCTCCACCGCCAATCACAACGACGCGTTTGTCACGCGCGAGCGTGGGGAGATCAGCAAACTCCCCTGAATTTCGAAGCAGTGCCTCCACTGACGACGTGGCAGCGGCGTTCGACTCAGTGACTTTCGATTGTTTGCGCTGCCAAGGCTCAAGAAAACTCATTGCAAAATGGATACCTTCCAGATTGCGCCCTACAAATCAAACATAAGGAGCGCTAATTTGTATTCAAACCGAACTCCATATCACTTCAGTGCGTTCTTTGTTATCTACATTCGAGGATAATCTGTAGTTGCAGTGATTTCATCAAAATGACTTATAGCAAAGTTACTCATTTAGTAAATAACAAATATGAATTCATTTAAAAGAGGATATGTACGTCAATATTGACTGCGGCAACCTGTTTATGGCTGAAGCATTTCAAGTCGCTTCGGAAGCAATATACGATTCACAGACGCGATGTTTCAAAATTTCATATGGTAAAAACAGGAGCTGATATAATGCAATGTACAACCCAACCGAAAAAACTGCATAGCTATAATTTTTAACCTCATGTTAGTTAAAATATTAGCTTTGAGCAGGAGAAACAGTAGTCAATCCAGACGCATAGAATCGCAAAACCCTATGCTCTTGAATCAGGACAAGATGAAATTACCTTCTGGTGCTAGCGCATTCAAGTGAACTAAAAAACTAAACGTCATTTGAATGTAGCTTTTGAAGTCCGAGAATAGGGCGTAAACTCTTCTTCGGCCGATATATAAATCCTACCGAAGGAAAGGCTCACTCTTTTCTCCTCAAGAGGTTACTCATATAACAAAATTCATTTCGACTGGCCAAATTCCGCATCTTTACAAATCCATATGCAGATGAAAATGTCTTCACAACTTTCACTCTTCTTATCTCGCCTGGCTAATGTTGGAACAATATTGAATAAAATTTTAGCATTCAAATTTGTTCACCTTTTTGTCTGTGGCAGAGCTCTAGTAATTAAACTATTTTTCACCTCAAATAACTTGGTAAACAAACACATTTGTGGTTCATAAAATTACTTGCAATGTGGCCGCCATAGAAACCAGGTGATGACATTAAAAGGACGTTGGATACAAAGGTACTTCAGACGGGATGCTAGTACTCGGGTTGTCGGCGGTAGACCTCCTGTTCTGAAGCCTTGGTCTCTTTATTAATCTGGTTGGGATCTCGAGTGTCGCGCCCATATTAGAAAAATGGAGTAGATTATTTTGTGATATATCAGTCAAATAAGCTACTTGAGGTAGCAACTATAGACTAGGATCTTATTTATTTTCATGAAGTAATTTGACTGTTGTACACGTTTACTAAGAAGTGAATAGACCCAGTTGATTCCGCCTAGTTTTCGTAAACTCTAGACATGAGAAATAGTAGTTTAAATAAAACCCAATATATAGCGTGTGGATGACAAAAAAATAGGAGGGGACTACCAGGAACGCAGAAATCACATGCCCAGGCGGATTTTGAGCGTCAAAAAGTAAATAGACATACAAATTTTCGCCATTTTAAGCTTTGCCTCTGCGTGATTGCCTCAGAAACTAGAGATAGTGGTAAATATTGTTACAATATTATTGAATTTGAAATCATTGCTCATGGGAGGTAATCCTACGTAATTCTAAAACCCAAGATTCATCTGATCAGGATTTCACAAATTCCAAACCCAAAAGATAAAAGCATGAAAGTTTCTTACGGAATTTGAGATGGAATAAGCGAGAAGGTCCAGCAACTCACCAGGAATGTTGAGATCACGCGGCCAAGTGGAACCCAGGCAGAGAACAATAGCATCAAAATCCTCGAGAAGCTTTTTAGCGGGCACCACTTTGACCACCTCGTCCGCAGGTCGGCAGGTGGCGTTGAGATCCATAGAAGAGCTACCCACCTGCACATTGCACAAGAATTCCACGCCGTCGGCGCGCATCAGGTCTAGTCGACGATCAAGGACGCGGCGGTCCAGCTTCATTGTGGGAATCCCATAGCGCATCAGACCACCGGGTAGATTACGACGCTCCATCACCACTACCTTGTGACCCGCCTGATAGAGAAATAATGTGGGCGTACATGGGACCCGGAAATACGCCAAGTTATTTTGCGTATAGATATTAAGGGCTGAGTTCCTGCTGAATAAGCGTTTTTTGACGAAAAAAAGGGTAATTTTGTCTTGACAAACAGATACTCTGGCCTCTGGTTTGCAATCCAAAAGCCCACTGAAGAACATGAAGAGAAGACATGCATACTTAATTGATGTTTGGAACAGACACAGTAAATCATCATAAGTCCCAGTGCAAAACTAACCTTTAGATTAAAACTTCCAAGCATCAAAACTTTCGAGTAAAAATAAATGGCTTAGCACATAAGGCAACGATACCGACAGAATTACTTAAGTACAATAAAAAAGAGGTGGACATATATAACGCACTCAGTAGTGAGTAATTTAGATGATAAAACTCTTAAGTTATCAGGATGACGAAACCAAATTTCAAACCAATGTTGACAAACAGTCATACTTAGTTCATAGCAAGGAAATACTTATATATCCCCTTAAAACGAAACAATCGGAGAATGAGTGTTTCAGTTGACTGGTTTGGAAACTTCATTATTCAAGCCATTAGACTAGCCATTTTCAAACTCAATCAGAGATACGATGTGAAAAGATGCACTGACTAACCTTGATAAGTTGAGCAGCACAAGCAAGGCCAGAAGGCCCGGAACCAACAATGGCGATACGTTTGCCGGTGACTTTGGAGGCGGGAAGAGGTCGAGGAACGTTGAGTCCGTGCTCCCAGCCAAACTCACCTATGGCGCATTCAATGTTCTTGATTGTCACCGGAAGGTCAATGATGCCCAACACGCAGGCACCCTCGCAAGGTGCAGGACACACGCGACCGGTGAACTCGGGGAAGTTGTTGGTCTGTATCATTGCTTCGTGCGCTGCCAACCACTGGTCCTGAAAAAACACCAAAAAGAAATCTTAGTCGGTTTCCCTTACGTATCAATCGCTAGCTTGGTGTTAGGTGCGTTTTTATCCATTTTATTAGAAAGTAACCACGTCAGGCTTGTTCTGGAGGCCATTCTACTAGTTCCGCCGCCAACTTCAGGTGACAGACAGTATTGTCTCAATCATTCATAATACTCAATTGCAATATATTTTATTTGATCCTGCCTAACTGATTTTCAGACTATTCATCACCATTTTTCGAGTTTTAATTCATTTTGCCGATAGCGGAACGGTATTGCATTTCCTTTAAGAATTCCCAGTCTAATCACCGAAGTACTTTTATTTAGTTGACCCTTGCGTGAAAAATTCTTTTGCCTTTAAGCTCCTATATATATTAGATGACGCTGTTACAGTAAAGAATGGAGGGAAAACATACTAAAATGGCCTTTTGGTCTTTGTCACATGATATATGCCTATTCATTAAGTCACAGATCTGAGGATGCGAATCAGGGATGTTTAAATTCTCTATTTACATGGAAACTAAGTTCTTAATCCAAATGTATTTCTTCCGTAGCACTTTGAACCTATTTCATTAAACGACAACGTCGTCAGATTAATATCGGTCTCGTTTTGTCATGCATAGTTCTGTTTTAACATAATTCTTCAGACTTTCAATTAGAAGTAAGCCACGGTATTTTCACATGGGAACGCTTGAGATTCACATTATCCATTTTATTCAATTTTGTGTGTCAAATTCAAAGAAAGTAAAAGACTTTTTATCGTTCGACAATTCGCGTTTCCGTCCTCGTAAATCACAAGTTATTACTAAGTATCCCGATAAAAATTATCTTTCTCATAAATTTACGGTCACCTTATCAAGTTTGTAATGAATGGATTAATTTTATATTCCCGTAATATTCACGTATACATATATGTTAAGTGATTCAATGAAGTTCGGGCTAAAGAGATGAATAAATAATATTCTATCTTCGATTTCTAGGGTGAGTCAAGTTAAGCTCTTAATCAACACAAGTTTGGACAAATTAATGAATGAGGGGCGTTCGATAACATCTACATAAGTGTAAACGTTACGTGTACTAGATAAGCTTTTTCTACCATGTAACCGCATAAAATTGCATATTGGCTTTCTCTGATGCGCATCTTTTTTAGTATTTTTATCAAAGTGCAAAGCCGCATATTTTATTCAAATAAAACCGAAACTGAAGAACTATTAATATTCAGTTACGCACCAATAAATATTTACTAAACACAAAACCAAATTAAAACTATAAATATATTTATGTTCAGGCGAATCAATAAGTGGATGGAGAGAGGAATTAAAACATGTTGAATGAAGGCTATAATTGGTATACGAATAGTCAAGTTGACAGATGAGTGAACAGACAAAGGGATACACAGGTGAACAATGCTAGAATTGCAAAGCTATCATTTTTACTAAGACACGTAAATGTGTCAACGTTTCAGGGCCATTTGCTCAAACATAAATCACAGATGAAGGAAGAATCCAGTCTACTCTTCCAGGATAAGTGAACTGAAGAGCTATTCATTACGAGATGTTAAAATAAACTAATGAATAGGACAGGAAAGCCTTAACTTACCTTATGGACGAGGTCATTCCAATCGGGAATAAGGTTGCCAAGAGGACAGCCGAAGCCGGACTGACAAAAAGGCACGCCGCAATCCATGCATCGTGCTGCCTGTGTCTTGAGACCGTGGCGCAAACTCGCGTGTGCGTACACTTCGGTCCAGTCACACAGACGCTCCCCTACAGGCCGGTACTTTATCTTCGTGCGCGGATACTTAACAAATCCCCGCAACTTGTCTGGTCTCTCCATCGCCGTTCCATTCTCCACCATCGCCAAACCTTTTTGCGCATCCTCGATATCGATATTTTTGGTACCATCCTAAGGGGGAAAGTAAAACGGTGCTTTTAAAATGCATATTCATTAAAGTGAGTTCTAAAGTCTTCGATGAATGTTCCACCAGTGTGCTAAGCGGGTAAAATAGAGTGGGAAATAATTAGCAAATTGTAAAAGGTGAAATAAACCACAATAAACTATGAACTTCATGATTTGCATCTACTTGCTTTCTGTGTCCCAGGACCGTAGCAAGTTCTAAAACCAACTTATCCAACGTCTAGAAGTGGGATTCATTGTAAGTGAACAAAACATCGGTTTCCAGCAAAAATTAATGCATTGAAAGTATCAGTCTAGAACCAGTATGATTCATTTAAAACAATGGGGCAAGTTTTTAATTGCGCATGGTGGTAAAAACGATAGTTTAGTTTTAAATTCGATTTATTAGCACGCACTACAACTCATTTATAATAGTGGACTGTCTGCATGCCTGGTTAAAAACCTACGAAAAAAATTGTTGACATTTATAACAAGTTCCATATTCCTTCGATTACTTCTCCACAGTAAATTATCTAATATCTATTGGGGTATTTAGTTTCCAATGTAGTCTAATGGAAACAGTCAATCCAAATTTCTGCTGATGCTACTAGAGAGTTAGGCACAAGTAGCTGGTTGTAATGGGAATCAAAAACCATATAATTCGGTGCAAATAGTTACTAAAATTAACTTCTCCAAGGAAAGAATCTTAACAATTCGAATGAAAAACTTCCAGAAACAAAACTCACCACAACGGACTTCGCCGCCGCCGCTGCTACAGCATCTTCGTCATCAGGAGCAACAGAGTCTCCATTTGCCGACGTAGGACCATTCGTCGCTATGGTGTTATTATCAGCTGCCATAGCCATTAGCGCCGCGCGATAGTCGTTGGGAAAGACGAGAACAAAGTTGCTCACCTCCGAGTCGAAGTGTTTGAGGATGTGCCGTGCAACCTGGGAATATCAAGTGAAAAAACTCAGTATAGACTGATCCCAAAGGGATCAGTGTCTTTCTTTTTGGGATGACAGTAGAGACACCCACCAGAGAGCCCGTCTCATCGAAGAAGTTCCGAATGATTGTGCAGAGCCAGGTGGCGTACTCGTTTTCGAGGGTCATGTCAAAGAGACTAACAGTCTGGAGGTTGCAGCGTGCCTTAAAGACGCGATCGGCGTCGTAGACAAAGGCTAGGCCTCCGGACATGCCTGCAGCGAAGTTGCGACCAGAGCGACCCAGAAGAACCACACGACCACCCGTCATGTACTCGCAGCCGTGGTCACCACATCCTGTAGAAGGTGAATGACTCATTTTTCACATAGTCCCCTACATTTATATACTGACTGGTATTTAACTAATATCTTGAGAGAAGCCTCGACAGGCTAAACGAACCATTGTAGGACACCGGGTGGAGGCTATCATCTCAATTGCTAATATTCGCGAACATTTGTGCTGTGTTCACCGATTACATAGAAACGTTCGTCTATTGAAAACTCGTGTGATAGTTTATGCACAAATCAGGCTTCCATGATCGGGCATTCCATGCAAACTAAATGTTTACAAAAATGACGAATATGATGTGGATCGGGAAGCACCACGGAAAAGATCGCTAGTGGCAGACATACAGCTGTTGTAAAACACGGCTCAATTTTTCTACTGCTTCCTGTCTACGGTTTCCTGTAGGTACGAGTATGTGTCTGCGCGTTTGAAACTTACACCTTCGTTTCGGTAATACTTCATCACCGCGCTGCTCGATGCACATACGTGGTAATACCCCCTGCCTGGTACTTTGGTCGACTTATTGGATTAAAACACAACGAGGATATCGACCACTAGCAATGCGGTACACTTGCCCCCTAGCACTGTGTATTTTGCCCCCACCTTAGTGGCCTCTTTTAAAGTTTTGAAATCTCCGCCTCACTTAAACAACGCCGGAATAAAAGGTATAGGATTTCATGCACAACAACAGAACATCCAAGTAACAATTCGCGAAATACTTACTACTATCAGTAGGTTGATGAAAAAGTGAAATTCAGTAAGCCCATTCTATCAGACACATACACTAAAAACGAGCGAAAGGCAGACTAAGAATCTCTAGTGGGTACAAACCTTCTGCCACAACAATGGCGCCTGAATTGCGAACACAGAAGCGCTCTGCAGCCTGTCCACGAATGAAGACGCGACCCTCAATGGCACCGTAGAGACAGGCATTGCCAACGATTATATGGTCCTCAGAGTGGAAATTCTTTGTGAGCAGCCGCGACGCCGGGACGATGGTCACTTTTCCGCCAGAGAGGCCCTTCGCCACATAGTCATTGGCATCACCGGTAAGGCTAACGTAGACACCAGGGGCGAGGAAGGCGCAAAACGATTGGCCTGCGTGGCCGCGCAGGTTGACCTTAGGGAGAAGGTACGATTTCACATAGATTTATGAGGAAGTGACTCATTGGAATCCCCACACTTCTTTTTAAACGAGAGAAAGTGGTTATTAATTCGATTTGTTCTCACTCCTCCCAATTAATTTCAACACGTTTGCTGTTGGGCTCTCAGAAAAATGCCGCTGAACCTCAGGTGATTTATCGTTATAATATGACATCAAGTGTTTGTGTCCTGCTTTTTCTTCTTAGCTTCTGTCCTTCTAATTACATATGCCATATATGTTCAAAATGTAAAGAAATCAGAAATGGATGAGAAATTCGGGTTTCACATTTATGTATGATACGGTGATAAATGTGTTAAGATCAAATTAAAGCCAATTATTTGCAATAATATGTAGAATGATGCGAATAACGCAAAGAAATTAAGGAGACAATCCAGCTCCAATTCTGATGTGGTTAGATCATTCAAGGAGTTTTGGTCCGATATCTTTTCATCACTACAAATTAAACTTAATTTGATCAAAGCAATACAGTTAAACTACACTTTCATAAGTTCACACCTAAAAGCCGGATGGACAATGGTAATTAAGTTCAAGTTTCTATAAAATGTTCATCAATGTTTATAGTGACCTTTAAAATTCACATCACTGTCTTAAATAAACAAGACGATTCATCCGCATGACCCCTTTAGTTGGTCGTGCAGACGCTGAAGAAAATAACAATCACACTCAAAGAACACCAGGTTAGCCGAACTTTTAATAAACGGCAAGATCTCCATAAGACAATTGAGATATCGTTAAATACTAAACGTCTGACCTCAAAAGAAGCCTTATAAGGCACTCCAAAGGTGGTTCAACTAATCTCACAAGATGACCCTAATGGCATAGCAAAAAATTGGCTAAAGAATTTGCTCAATCCCTGCCAGAATTTTGGGTTAAACGAATCGTCGATTGGGATGGCTCACCAGATTAACCTGGAGAATCCTATTTTCATGTCAATGTGCTGTCCAAAACAAAGTTTGCAAAGACCAGAATAACGAGATAATCTCTGCTTAATCCTCAAGAGACATTCCCGTTTCGGTTACATTCAGATTTACAAAAGGATTCCATGATTTCGTTGATTGCTCTTAAATTAGAAAAGAGGGTAAACTCTCGGTTAATTCCTCTGTGCCCTTTAAAACTGGAATCCTGCCGATTTTGATATAATTAAAACAAAACGATTGTCCTGTATTAATTAATCCGTTAGCTTAGCAATGCACGATAATTAAGTTCATTTCAGCCCCTCTACACGTTTTCGATTTAAAATTATTGAGACCGAGCTAGACTTACGATAAATCAAAGAGCAATAAAGAAAAATAGAGGGGAGGAAAGATGGAGCTAAACATGTCTCAAATGTTATCATCTCAAATCTTGAGCAATTACCTTTTAAAAGCAATCATTTAAACTTTGGTCAACATAATCAGAAAATGTCTCTTGATCTGCCGAATTAACAATTTAAGTGATTTTTACTAGTTGATTAGTTCTAAAAGATCCGATTTTAAAACCAGCTTCTGATTTAGTAAATCTCGAATGGAAAGCAGAGTAGCAATTGCAGAATGTGAATGAACTGATCACCGAACACTGCCGCCTTCTCATAAAGTGCAAAACCAGTCATCAACATTAATTTAGTGAAAAGTTGCTTTTGGTCTCTGTTTTAATATTTTCCAACTGTGAGAAATCGGTTCACCTTTGCATTCAAAGGAAAATTACTCTTTCAGTACTTGTTCATTTACTTCTTCGCCTTGCGAATTCATCTAACGACATTAAGTCGCTGCGACCCACCTCCAAACGTCGCGTCTTCGGTAATCCCTCCTCATTAAATTTCATTGAGATCGCATAGCTAAGCGAGGCTCCAAACGCTCGATCTTCATTAGAGATAGCACCAGAGATTCGCACGACGGGCAGAACTTCATCGTCCTTCCCACCCATCCCACATGGCGTCTCAAGTAGTGGAATGGCAGCAATGAGGAGTCGACGGTCCCAGTGCCTATCTGGGGGCAGGGAGCTGGCCAGGCGCAGGGTCGGCGAGGCCTCCATCGTGATACCGCTGATGCCGCAGTGGAGCGGAGCATCAAGGACGTCGATGGAGGCCATTGAGTCCCATATGGGGAGACCTAAGCGATGGTCGAAGATTTGATCCTTAAAGGGCGAGGTAGGCATCGCTAGCAGGGGAGAGAGGTCAAGGCAAGCGGTTTTTTCGTTTGTTGGACTGTTGCGTTGCTAAATAATTAGAACAGAAGAGGATGCTATGGATCAGGAAATAGAGACACACTTTTGCTACAAAGTGTTCAAAAATGGATAGACTGGAAATCAGCGGGTTAAGAATCAGTCGGACACATTGGTCACTGAATGACTAGTGGATATGTAAATAAATTAAAGATGTATAAATTTATAATAGACGGGGTCGACTCTAACGAACCAAATGAATCGACAAAAGGCGGGTTATTCCAATTAAAAATTAATGAACGTGTTCAAAATGGATGGATGTATGAGTAAATGGACCAAAAAATTGACGGATATCGATATTTTCTTTAGTAGGTCTGTAAGTTTTTGAGGTTATACTTCGCACCATGCAGTAAAAGTGGTATGTTCGAAGTCAAAAGGATCTAGAGTAGATAGACTGATAGAGATGTAGATGAATAAATGGCCCAAGTGTGAATGGACAGACACAGGGTAGGCAGAAATTTAGTCGATGTGAATTTGGTTGAATGAATTGACGAAGAGAAGGACTAAGAGTAACGGATGAATGAAGACCTGCATAAATAACGGATGCAGGAAGGATTTTAGCAAATAGAGTATGAATGGATGTAGTACTTAAGGAATAGATGGGTGACTGATCAATAAATACACCAAGGATGGATGGATCCCTATAGATGAAGCGCCTGGAGTGGATATTTGCATTTATTCAGGGAAAAGGAATGGGTCTAGAATAGCTGGACGAGAGACAGATAAATGGATTTAAGATAGATAAGTGAATCTACGATAAGCACGTGAATAAATAGATGCGGAACAGGCGTATAGGTTCTGCACGAACAGGTTCAAGCAGGATGGGTGGAAGGATCTGGGATAAGAACATACGGTGGCACAGAATAGGCAGAGTAGAGCTTAATGGAAGGAAGTACAAGTGAGGTATGAGCAGTCTATGGACGGGCGAATGCATACGTAAACGGATGATGGGATGGCTCCGTGGCAGATGGATGAATACGTGAATGGCTAAATAGATGGATTGTGGATTGATGAATGACTCTCCGATACACAAACTCGCCTAGAATGAATAGATTGATATACATGTATCAATCATGAGTTAACTTGCAATTGGTAGATTGAGAGATAAGTTGACTAACAGATGGATGGACTCATCACAATCAGTCGATATATGGATGGATGCGTGATAAATAGGCCTTTAGGGGAATAGAATGACGGACGCAGGGACGTAGGATGAGTGGGGGCAATGGATAGGTTGATACATTATTTTTACTTAAGCAGCTATTACAAAATGCATTAACGGAGAAAACACCTAAGCTAAGGCATTTTAAAACGGTTAACAAGCCATTCAGAATATCGCCTACCTGAAGCAATTCCGTGCGTCCAGTGATATCAGTGAGCCGTGTGAATCCAAGTTGCGCCAGAAGTTGCCTCACATCCTCGGCCAGTAGGAAAAAGTAGTTAATGAGGTGTTCGGGGACCCCAGCAAACTTCTTGCGCAGAACCGGGTCCTGCGTGCAAATGCCCACAGGGCAGGTGTTGAGGTGACACTTGCGCATCATTGTGCAACCCAACACAATCAGCGGTGCAGTCGACATGGCGAACTCGTCCGCACCCAAGATGGCTGCTATCACCACATCACGAGCTGTAAGGAGAAAAGGACAGAAACAGCATTATAAAGAACATTCATATTCTTTCGTATTTTTATTGCGACAGGTCTTTCACCACTCCAGAATGTATTTTTGTCTTTCTCATAATAAGGATTGTTATTTTGGGACTTCGATCTGTGACTTGGTCGCTTCGGTGGTAGCATGCGAGTTCGTTCACGATACTGGTACTAAAGCAACTTCTTAGAGCGTCTACAAAGCAGACAGGTATCGCACCAGAGCAATAAAGGATTGCACTGCACCCATCCATGACTGCAGTAGTCTTAAAGATTTAGTGCTGCTCATCCAGTGTAGTGTTTAAGCAATAGGAATAACAAGTGACATTTGTGATATTCACGCTAGAGACGGTAGAAGTGACCCACTCATATAGGACAAATAAAGATCCAGCTATCTTATAATTTGTATGGACTTGAAAAAGTCAAGAAAATGTTTATAAGTTTTGTAAAGACACGCGGCAGCCAATCACCATTGCCTTTTATTGTGCTCTGCAAAATCTCTTCCATTAATTGTAATCCTAATGCCAGATGGATCGGATGGGATTTGAGCTTGTCTGCTACTCTGCATACTAAGCTTAGCTCAGATCGAAATTGGCAGAAAATTCTCATGTAGCATTAGTTGAAGGTGTGCAATGACTAACTCGCAAAGATAAATGGATGTGATTCATTATTCATCCTAACGTTTGCTGAGAGAGTGCAACAAACCATTGGTTGTTCCCACACGACTCGCAGACTGCCCACACTAGGCCCTAAAGGGGCACGCTACTCTACGGCCGAAAGACCACTTACTTTGTGAAAGTGCGTGAGGACTGCAGAAGTAATTAGTCACTGTGAGTTTTCTACTGCAAAGGTCGAACAATTACAACAGATGTAAGAGTCAGAATCAGCAAATTAGATGGAGCCAAGCCTGTTCTTATTAGGTAACGCAATATTCCATACCTTACACTTTAGGATGGGGTGGAGATATTGCCCCGCAATCCTTCTCTATATTCCTCCCATAAGAGTTCGCCAAGTGGTGAATATCACCATTTTCTTGGCATTAGGCAATTAAACGAAAGATGGAACAGACGTCTGAAAGGCAAAACTGATATAAAAACGGAAGTGATAAGGTTTTCTGCCTACGGAGAGCTAACTTTTATAAAAATGGCATTTGTGAGTCTTGTGCTTCCAGAAAAGGATTGAAGGCTGCAATTGTAACTGCCTAAATGGGTAACATATTGTAATAAACTTTCCAAAGTTACTTCAACGTTGTAGGTGAAAGATTGCATAAACTTATTTGCTCAGCTTGTAGTTCAAATGCGATTTGTTACCGATGCTGGTCACTCGTAAGCGTTACTCACGAACGACCACGAAACTTAGCATTTGAAGCTTCTATGATGGTTCGGAAATGCAGAGCTTTTTATTAAAATTAGGAATTTGGAAAACTAAATCTGACTCTTTTAGTCGATTATCTGGTTTCCAAGATGATTCAAAAGATTACTGGATTAAGCGGAGTGCTTTAGAGTAATAGTACTATTGAGTTTGCTCTAAAAAATCCCATGAAATGCAAAACATTTTACTTACCTAAGGGAAGCCGTAAAAACGTATCACACCACTATCTCTAATTTTGATTATATTTTGACTTATCTTTTTTAGAACACCTTATGAAACAATCAATCATTTACAAACAAGAAATTCGTAAAAAATTAGACAGTTTTAAGGTTTATGAAGCCGTATGATGGGCGCTAAGGCAAGCAATAATTTAGGAAGTTTTAACCTGAAAAATCGAATCAGCTCTGAAAGTAGGAAGGCATGGTGCATATAAGAACATGGTAATTCGAAAGGATAGTTTAAATAAGACATTATTTAAAAAAAACGATCAACATCGCACTTTACTACAAATTCAAACATGTTGATAGAAACACAGAAAACGATAAATTCTGCAAAGTCGTCTAGACTCCATTTTCCTGAAAGTCTTCCCGTAAGCCAGTACCGATCACAAGCAGGTTGTGCACCTTGTTCACGCCTATCATGATGTTAGGCACTTTTAAGGAAAACTGAGTTTCTAAGCACTGAGATAATGTGGGAAAAAATCGTAAACTCCATTGCATCTATGACGACTTCTACAATGATCCCAGAGCATTCCAATCCTTTGGGTAAAGACACAGGATTGAGATATTATTCAGCACAGAAGAGCAATGCCTATCATTGCGACGCTTATTGACACTAGAAAGAAATTTGGTATTTATCATCGCCGATGTAAAATAGAACCGATTAGTTAGCACCACTTGGTCGCGGTTGACAGTAACAATTTTCCTAATACTTTTGTGGTAGACAAACTCGCGACCTAGTGCACAAAGAGATTTGAATGATAGTAACGCCCAATTCCAACCATATTTAATGTGTGAAATCTTTTAAGAAAACCAAAAAAATAAATGTATCCATTTCAATCCTCGGAATATAAAACCTACCCGTCCTGATTTGACCATCGACCTGCAGCACGACCTTGGATCTCGTATGATTGTTAACCAGCACCTGATGCGTCTCCGCAATTCCCAGTTCCCACGGCAAGCCCGCATTCTTTATGCCCGTCCAGGAGCTGGCGCCTGTTCCACCATCGTGTCCGGAAACTATTATGTGGGCTGCATGGGCCTATAAGGACAGTCCAAATGTACGAGGTGGGTAAAAGGATAAGTACAGACAAAAAATCTAGTTAAAGCGTTCACACAACAGGCTAGAAGAGATATCTGAGACATTTCTTTTGTTGTTGCTCTTCTCCTTCCCTCTTACCTAGTGAGTGACGCAACACAACGAAGCAAAACACCTAAGAGATTGAAAGGTGGACAGACCTAAACGAAGTGTCTAACAATCTAACGATATAACTATAGTGCTGGGTAAGGTAACCTGGAGTTGCCCGTGCGCCTGAAAAGGGGTGAGGTAGTATAGGTAAAAAGTAGAATGATTTGAGGGGAAATGTACGACGAAAGTTGAAGAAGGGAGAAGACGGAGGATATTACCTTGGCGACCCCAGATGCAATCACCCCCACGCCAACTTCAGAGACCAATTTGACGCTGACCACTGCCATCGGATTTGCCGCTTTCAAATCGTAAATAAGCTGAAAGAGAAAGTGGGATAAGTTTGAATGATAATGATGTTTCAAATGCACGCCTTACCACATGAAACTTTTATTCTCAAAAATGGCTTTGAATATGGCCATGCACACAAGAATTTACAAGCAAGAGATTAAGCAACGATACCTAATGTTACGTTTGGGCAAACTTTCCTACAGAAAACACCTGTCATGGATACCGCACTTGACGTAGAAAATCGTTTAGCGGCTGGAACTACTAATAAAAGAAATAATATTCCAAATTTCTTGAACCATTACTAATAAGGAAGATTCAAAAAACGTCCTCTGGGGTGGTCAAGAAAAAACTTGGGAAGGCGAGTTAATAATGAAACAATTGTGGGATCTTTTCCTCATGTAGTTTAGTCACCGCTTGACTCCACTCGTAGAGGTGGTAGAGCCAAAAGCCGCAGCTACCGACCTGGAAGCGATATCACTGTGAGACAGGAGAGAATGAGCCATCGGAAGCAACTTTAATACAGATAATTCTTGATCAGCAAGGTTTGAATTGATTCCTTCAAACAGAACCTTGTTTTTACCTGAATGCTTATCTCACGTCATGCTGCAGTAACAGCCTTTGAGGATTAATTGAGAGGCGAAAAAAAACACGGTAAAAGTGGATAAAGGTGCTTAAATTCCTTGTTCACCTGCGCAAGGTCTTCAATGGAGTATATATCATGGTGAGGCGGTGGGGAGATAAGGCCGACACCAGGTACGGAATGACGCAGAAGCGCGATCTCCGCGGTCACCTTGTGACCAGGCAACTCGCCCCCTTCACCAGGTTTTGCGCCCTGTGCCATCTTAATCTGCAGCATGTCCGCGTGTGCCAGATACGAGCTGTTTACACCGAAGCGGGCCGAGGCCACCTGTAGCAAAATGTAGACGAACAAACTCTCACCATGTCCCTTTTCGTAATACCCATGACTCATTCCGTCAGATTCATTTAATAATAATTTATATCTCTTCATTAGAACGAATCACTACTCTCACCTACCGGCCTTCAATTCTGCTGGCACGCTTTTACTTGTTCTTTTGATTTCTGGCTTCTTCCTCCACTTTAAAAAATACCGATTACTCAGGAAACGCCTTATAAGAACTATGTGACGATATTCTCCTCCTTCAGCTAAAAGCACTGATAATACTACTCACATCTTTTAATGTTTCTACTCATTTCACGACTACGAGATAAATCAAGGAACCGCAAGTGATGGTGTCTTTGGAATCACTCTCTAGGTACCTCTATGTAAGATCCCATTGAAGCCAGCCATGCTTCTAATGTGGTCTAATCTGACACTCCTTACAAAGCCCTACTGCATTCTATGGAAACAGGGTGCAGTATTTGCTTTGATTATATGGATGTTCACCCGTTCTCTTCAGTCTCCTTTGGTTCGACTACCGCGTTGGTGGTAGCTATGCCTGTCACCCATGGCAATAGTACTCAGGCTTTCCTCCAGTTTTACATTTTCCATGAGCTTAATAATTTTATCCCAGTGCCTTCCAGAACTTCCATTTTTTACAGGCATACCTATGTTATCGTGATTTGCATGCTGAGGAATATTACAATCAGCTTATAGCAGTGGAGCGATCCTCCACGATGGAGTAAATGATACGCATTTTGCAATACGGAAGCACCCAAAACGACCGAGTTTTAAGAAACTCAGAAACAAAATTTGTTATAAATAACTTTGCTCCATCTACCCACTATAATTTATCCCACTTTATTTATAATGGGTAGTCAATACTAACGGCATAGTCCAGAAAATTAGAACGACTATTAGGCTGTTTTATTGCCATTTGCGTGCAAGCGATTATTGCCGTCTGTTTAAACTAGGACTGTGGCACTATAATAAATTCCTTCAAGATTGTTCAAATCCCATTAATCTAACTATAAATGTATTATTTCGCAAAAAATCTCCTGAACATCACAGTTCAATGGATTTTTCAGACTAAACTGGACCCTCTATCTATTCCTCGTGACATGAAAGTGGATTCGCCACCTCACCTGCTTGATGGACGAAGATAGAAGGGGATTGAGGTAACGATCGGGCAGCTCTCCGCCCTCTCCGGTGTTCGACCGGCCACCGACGGTGTTCATGGCCTTGGCTAGAGCACTGTGCGTCTCTGCAGAAATGGAACCGAGACTCATGGCCCCAGTGGCGAACTTCTTCACGATCTCCGTCACTGACTCCACGAGGTCTACAGAGATGGGCTTCTCGGCGAATTTGAACTCGAACTGGCCGCGCAAGGTGCACTGGCGCGCCTGCTCGTCAGCTGACTCTGTAAATTGGCGGAAGATTTCACTGCTGTTGTTACGTGTTGCTGCCTGGGGAAAATGAATCAATCTTTTAATCAATCAGAAGGCTCCTTCGACGCATGATTTGAGTATAATTGAATAAATATGGTGGCCTGACAATTTAGTTTAGGTTATGTTTTGTACCAGATTCAGACTAATGTGGCGAAATATACTTAAAACTTTGTAAAGTCATTCCGGATAGTATGCCTAATTGCAAGTTTAAAAGAGTTGAATAAGTTATTATCGGCTATTGGAAATTAACGGTAGAGCTAAAAGTACCAAAAAGATGTATCAGACAGAAAGAATGTGATGCTATAGAACTAACAACCCTTGACATGGTAACGAACTTAAAGCTAAGGTATCCATGCGTTCCAACCAGAGCTACGAGGTATGTGCTAACTTCATTTTGGTGCAAAAATAATGTCGCGTTCTTTTTGTCTTCAGATGAATCACACCATAACCAGATGCAAAAAGTTCAGCGAATTTCCAACAGGTGAGCCTAAATACACTGTATATTTCAATTACAACTTTCATTTAAGGAAAGGCGACCCGTCGAAGATGATTAAAACGCATAAAATGCAAAATGGTATATAACTGAAATCGCAGGGACAGTAATAGAGCACTTTTATTTGGCAAACCTGAAGCTTCGCAATAGTAACAGGATCATTCATATGTTTCTCGCCACCCGACCGCCAGTGGTAGAAGCCAGGATTTTGCAAAAAGGAACCAGTGCCAGGTACTCGATCCTCTCCATCTGCCATGCAGTCTCGCCGCGAATCAACGGAAGTCCCGTTAAATGTGTGCAACAAACCAAAGGCTTTCGAGTGCCGCGAGCAGACTTCCGTGGCAAGGATATCGAATCCAGCACCAGCGATTCGCGAAACGGTTCCAGTGAAACACATATCTATCACTTCTCGAGCCAGGCCAACAGCCTCGAAGATTTGCGCTGCCTTGTATGACTGCAATGTGGAGATGCCCATCTTGGCCATAACCTAAGAACGAAATATACCCAACCAAGTTAGAGCTACTAGCATATTTATGAGTAGAAGTGGTTGGAATTGGATTACTTGCCTTGAGAATGCCGTTCCCGACGGCTTTGACGTAATTCTTAAAGAAAGCCTCATTACTGGATTTGTTGGAATCCGGTCCAGTCGGAATGAGCATTCCTTCTCTGTGAAGGCCTTGAACCACCTCGAAAACCATGTAGGGACAAATGGCATCCGCGCCAAAACTCAGCAAGGCGCAGAAGTGATGAACTTCTCTAAAATCGAATCAAATGCATTGCAAAACGATTTTAACTTATAAAAGCGACGAATCACTATTTTCAAATTTGCCATTGAATCTTATAGAAAAATGCAATGTATATGAGCATTTCTTCCATATTTCCTTAGCTATCCGAAACATCTTTTTTAGATTTTAATAAAGCAAATCAAAACAGCATTCCATGACTTAAAGATACAAATAGATTTGAAATTCTCTTAAAAATTTGGAGATTAGATGATGAATTAAAAACATGCATCTTAGAATGTTAAGTGAGATGGAAATTATAATTATGACTTCCAGTCATAAATAGTCGATAATTAGACAAGCGCGAAATGCGTGCTTAAAATATTATTTTACCAGATACTCTGTCTATGACCACTTGATAAGCACCGCTGTTTTCCGATCTCAAAACGATGCAATGTAGATCCTCAATTGTAGCAGGAGAAATTATCCATGATTGAATAAAGGTCCCATCAGAGCAAAGCAAAAAGCTTGGCTTTTAGCGATGCAAACGAACCAAAGCAATGCGCGCAAGTGGGCAGAATTTTGTAATTTTCGAAATTCAAGTAGTAGATTTCTAAAACCCCTCCTAGATTTCCCCATGGGGTTTTATAAAAATTTCAGCGGTTATATAATCCCAGGATAGAGGTTAGCTAAACAGCAATTGCATGAAACATATCCCACGACTTCTAGGATTTCCTAATTCGGCCCTAATTAGCCGCCATATCCTCTCACAAGCATCGTAAGATCATTTAAATCGCAGTGCCCAAATGGTTTCAGCGCTCCCACTTTATCAAGCGGAAAGCATGTGGAATTTGGCGATCGATTAGCATTTTTCTCCAAATTATCCTCAAATGTCATATGAACTATCATTTCAACACAAAAACCAAATTTCATCCAACAGCACAAGTGCACCCAAATTTGCATTACAGATGTTTCAGGATTGCGATTCAACAGACTGTAACCAGGAGATTTACTTCGCTGCTCTCAAATTTCTCTCAGTCAGCCCAAGGCCTATATGGGGACCGTCTACCCGGGATACAGAAGGAACAAATTACCTAGCATCACCCGACTCCACCACCAGTCCAACTTTCATCCTGAGTTCTACTTTGAGTAGGTGCTGGTGCACTGCTCCGACAGCCAGCAACGAAGGCACCGGGACTGTGTCTGCACTAAGCCTTCTATCACTAATAATGATGATGCTCACTCCATCTCGTACCGCTTTCTCTGCGGCGGCACAAAGCGCTTCCAACGCTCCGCGCAACAGTCCACCCAGATCCACTGGTCGGACGCCGGGGCAAAGGGCAAAGGAGGGCTCAAGCAGACGCGAACGCCAGCCGTATACGTGTGAGGTGAGCGATGATGATGTCTGAGTCGTCGGTAAAGGAGACTGAAGGCTCCGGAAGAGGAGCATGTCGGAGAGGGAAAGAATGGGCTGGGAGAGCCACAGACGGTGGGCTTGAAGAGGGCTAGGTTCGAGAACGTTCGCCTCGGGTCCAATGGGACAGGCCTGAGATGTGAAGTAGAAGGTGATTTAATTATCAAAACTTCCATGAGGTGGCAAATCATAACCTCTAGTCTTTCAACTGCAGAGTTCTCAGACAGGATACCAAATGAGTTACAACTAGTGTGACCGAGTGCCTTTGCTTCGTCCATAAAACGTCCAAAATTCCAAATTCCCCCCTCTATATAATTTATATGACTAGCGCTACTGGTGATTTAACAATATGAGTTTATTCTTCCTTGAAATTAGTGAAAAAGTAATGATTTAGAACCTTACACTGTATTCAACCATCTTTGGGAAAATGCGCAAAAACTAGATGGAACCTAGGAAGTGCAATACGCTCTTGATGGTGAAAACGCTAAGCCTTCATAGTCCCAGATAAGACAAATTTTCTCCAACTTTTTAAAATGTATGAATCCTAGACGTGAAGATCGAGTAAACAGCGTCACTTTAAACTGAAGTTTCCAAAAAAATGCAAATCAAATGGAGATAAGAAGAAATTCGAGTCAGAGGCATAAAAATTCTCCGTATCGATTAAACTTCAGTTTCCTTCATAAAATCCATTAAGGACAACGGTTTCTTAATCTCCATTTTTCAAGCTCGAAGCAAAATTAATAAGCGATTTCTAGTCTTTGCAGTGATAGTTTTGTATTAGTGCCACAAAATTGTCGACCTAAAAACTTTGCGCCTTTATTATAATGCCGCTTCCTTGATGAGCGATAATGCATATTCTTTGATGCTATAATCTTAAAGTACAAGCCAGATTTTCTGTAAAAGCTGGCATTGAGATAAAACTCCACTTTTGCCACAGCATTTTGCACGTAGATGCAACATTAGATAGAACAACATAAGTAAAAATACCATATTCAAAGACGTTACATTCGCTCGGCTTTGGCTGGGATGAATACTCCTGACATCTCTGCAATGTGAACTACTTAATCGGAAAACTAGAGGCAATTTTTCCTTATAAAGTTGTAAAAGAAAAAAGAATACTATTAGAGCACTGTTTTGGATCAAAAACGGAAGTGAATAAAATAGTAGTTCACATCTGAGCCGTTAGACTTTTTCTGTAAATACGGAGGCAAATGGAAGTGGTAATATCCTACAAAAAGTTTATAAGAACAGAAGGAAAGTCTGATGAAAATAAAAATATGTCATATCTTAGACGGTGGTCCCCATACCAGTGTTACTATTAAGATAGGAATTAAGATAAATTAGTTGGAAGGAGGAAACTACGTTGAAAGATGTATTGTCGTTTGGCTTGGTTGAGAACAACTTAATGGTACACAATAGGTACAAGACACATTAACTTTGCTTCTGTAAGGCAAATCGGACAGATAGCATCACGAAACTTTCCAAGTGAAGATGTGCTATTAGAGAGGAGTACCACAAGAGATGCTAATTTAGGTTAAAATAGGTCACTCACCAGAGACATAACGATTCTCTCCCGGAATGGGTCGATCGGTGGGTTGGTGACTTGTGCGAAGAGCTGCTTGAAATACTCGTAGATCAGAGGATCATATTCGGAAAGACAGGCCAATGGAATGTCGTTACCCATTGAGCCCAATGCCTCTTTTCTAAGGAAAGAAGTTTGAAAAAAATAGCTGTATTGGTTCAAAAATTCTCTAAACTACCTAACAGCGTTTCAAGTAGTAAAAATGCATTTTGTTGGCTTTAGAAATGTATTTCAAAATATTCTGCTAAAGTAATCTCTTTTATGTATCGAATCTAAAACTGAACTAAGGCACATTTATTCAAAATTCACTCTGATACCTTTTTAGAATTAAAAGCTAAACTAAAGGAATTGCGGAAAGTCCTACAGCGACAAATTGGGGTCAATGAATAAAAATGAGCCTGTTCGAAATAGAGAAAACACCCAGTACTTTTATATAAAAAATTGGTCCCACATATGCATTAACTAAATTTTTATGCAAACTTTAGAAAATGTAAAAATGATGAGTAGACTGGCAATGTCAGTTCGAAATATTCAAGGGAAACGGGGCACAGTCAAAGCTTTTTTACCAAAAGCAAATTATGTAAGGAGCACCTGGAGGCTAAAATGTAACGTCTTCTATTTTCTTGCCAATTTTACGAACGAACGACTCCTTTGACTTTTGCCTCTAATCTTATCAAATCATTTACAGCTCAGTGAGGGGCCAAAATCTAGAAGTGGGCTGGTATAAAAATATGGGCAAGCAACCAAAGTCCCCTCCGTCTAAATAGGAGGCATGTTGGGGACCATAAAATGTCCTTTCTGAAGTCGCTTTGAAGCTGTGCATTTAGCTAGAACACCTGTCAATCGTTAGAAAGACGGCCTACTGGCTTAACAAACTGGAAGCTACACGCTTGAACTGCCTACTGGGTGAGAGAGGACAAGCAAACGCTTATTGCCTTGTTTAAGAATTACCTCAAATAATTTTTTTTCTGGTAAGGATAGTATTACAATCCATAGATTTATGAAAGTGTCGAGAAAACGCATTCTCAATAATACCTTAAAAACTGATTGACTTCATCATGAAATTGCGACAAAAGTGTAAATTATGCCATTATTGTCAGTTTCCAAAAAACAATTCTTTCCGTTCAAAGTCAGTTTACCTACGGCGACCACTTGCAACCAGGATCCAATGGATGCATTCAAGTGCCGTGCCGACAATATTCAAATAGCCTCTACTGTGTCAAATACAAAATTAAAAAACTGGGATTTTACATGACACCGGGTTTTCAGTAAGGAAGCTTGAAAAATCTAATTAAGCTGGTTGCACCATCAATAACTCTATTCAAGACTTTTAGACATACAAAACCTTTCTATAGTTTTCATTTTGCCACGTCCAAATTAGTCATGAAGGCCATATAATTACCTCATTAAATGGCCATATGAAGTATTTGTGATTGCCCCTTATTTCTGTGAATTTCAAATCGACTATACACGATCCAACTAATAGATTCAAGAAGTCATTGATTTAATGTTAATGTTTAATGTTAAACTCTAATGAGTTTCAAAACAATCACTTGGACCAATGAGATGTCACATTCAACTAAAAGCCATAAATCAATTTCAACGTGAAAAATTCTTTTCAATAGCCTAAACACTTGCAAGGCAATCTAATTTCACTACATTGCACCATTAAAGCGAATTCCTGCATTAAGATCGGGATCTTTAAGCGCTAAAATTGACCGCTGGCACTTTGACGGTTACGAAGAAAAGCACCACTCACGGGTTAGGATACTTAAAGAAAGGCGATCCGTAGTCTTAGTTTTTAGAAAATTTTAAAATCATCACTACTACCATGTTTAGAATACACTTTGACAGAAGCTTCACTGCTACCATTCGATCGGTTTTCAAAACTTCAGAAAGCATCAATGGAAAACCCTAGTTCCGAGAAGCTTGAGCAATTATTTTACACATTCATGTATGGGAAGATTTTGGTGAATTTTTATTAAACTGCAATGCACAGTTTTATTTCTTCAAGCAAACCAGCAAAAAAATCCTCGAAATCTAGCACTAACCCCAAGGTATTTGAATATGTATGGTGGATTTGCAGGCTATTTGCTTCGACAACATAGAAAATTTGCCTTGATGCACACAGCATTAGTTCCCTGGTGTATCATGAATATGAAGTTAAATAATAAAACTTCGTAGAAGAAACTAGAATGCAATGGGGCACCGTATAATTAGTTAAATAATTAATTTGGATTAACAATATGATAAGAGGTAATCCGCGAAGACGCAGGTTTATCGAGCATCATGAGTAACTTCTCCGAAAATTAATCAAACCCTTAAATTTTATCGGATTCGTCCCAGCTGCCTCTTTTGAAATATCAACGAAGAAGGTACTGGTTAGTGTGTATGGGGGGATACATGTAAAAAGCGGGAAATAGGCAGAAACAAATTTGCTTTACTTCATCCCATCTAATTCATAACCAAAACTTTCCGAATATAAGAGTAGATAGCAGGAATCATATAAATGGGGGCTAAATCCTGTCCAAACGCTTTTGACTAACAATAATTTCTGCAACTTTCTTGAAAATAGCATGAATCACCAAGTGAGGACGCACTGGTTGCTCAGCATGGGCAGAAGGAGCATGCTCATGTTCTCCGGTGTGAACCCAAATAACGTCAAACGCGGGTCATGGGTGAGAGAACCGGTGGTTGTGGCGCCCCCGCCGTTGCAGTCGCCAGTGATTTCGGTTGTGGCATGCAGCGAGAAAGCCGCTACTTCTGCAGCATCAAATGGTCCTCGGGCCTCGTGCAGCTGCTCCAAATCTATTGCCTAAAAGATAGAAAGGAAGAACATGGAAAATATTAAAGAAATCACTCCACTGCTATTCAGATGTTGTCAGACAATCGATTTCATTGTAGCTATTCGATGTCAAACGTTCGGAAAATAGAATCCAAGATTGATTTATCGATGTTTAAAGTAGCAAAAGAGCAGAGATTTTAATAGATTCCGCCTTTAATAATTTGTAAAGTAAGGTGAAACTGACCAATACAAACATCTGTCTTCGTATGCGCTACACTTTACCATCGTATCAACTGAAACTGTATAAATTATTTTCTTTACAGTAACTAGGATAAAAATCACTTGAAATCAATCTAACCATGAGGAAATTATAGTCAAAAAACTTTCATTAAGTCCTGGTTTGGGACACGATCGTTCACGACCCATAACAACTGAGTAGCGGGGATGCGAATGGCGAAGGCTTTTGAACCGGAATTCAGAGTATTCAAACCACTCTTTAAAGTGAATCAGTTTTGCATCGTCAAGTACAAAAGAATTGATGCTTTTTAATCTAGCACACAGTCGTCTCCCGCGTCATTTGTCAACTCATAAAGTTTAATTTGCTCGCAAAGAGGGTGGTTAGGAATGTTAATTCCACCTTAATTTGATTACATGCTCCCAGAGACGAAGAACACTGCATAGGCATAGAAAGGGAGAGGAGGAAGGTGAAGTCGGCTTTGCCCCAAGGCATCACGTCGCCCAGGTGCGCGCGTGTATGCGTTGTCCCCTACCTTTCAGTCTGTCTTCTGCCTACCTGGTGTTTCTCTCCTCTACCCACTCTCTTATCGATCGAAGTGGGAGTAGTAGCAGTAAAAGCATTAGCAGAAGCAGGAGTAGCAACTCTTCACGCCAAACTCTCACCCAGGTGTGCAATCACTTTTGGTGGGAGAAGCATTTATAGCTAGGTCTCCATAATGCCTACTGAGCAAAGTTAATGCCCAGCGAAGTTGCTACGATCTTGCAAGAAGGTCATTGAGTCAATAACCTATTGGTTGGAAATCATGACTTTAGGGGACGAACCAAATTTTGGCTGAGCTAATAGTTATTCATTTCACAAATCTAAAAAAATTAAACTGTTTGCTTTTCTGATAAAAATGTTCAAAATTCTTCTTAATTTGTAGTTATAGGATAGCAGTTTAATTGCATGAAATCAATCAAATTTTTGAACTTTATCAATACTTCCTTATGCAGTTTTAAACATTTTTTAGAAATGCTGTCAAAAGGAATTGTCTGTAGACCAATGGCGCTCAAATCAACTCATAACTTGTGTTTCTTTCGTTAAAAGTGGTAGCTAGGATGAAGTTCGTCTGGCAAGTTGATGCCTCATATGAGTTGTCACCATGGTAATAAATACGGTTTAAAATGTTGTACATACTTTAAACAAAGTAGAAACAACGTTACTGCGTGCTTTCTGTGTGGAAGGCCATTGCAGGAGCTTCCATTAAAATGAAATTGGTTATAGCAGCATAATGGGTACAGGGCGCTCCAAGCATCTAGCACTCCCAAAAAAATTTAAATGCTGCAAATGACTCGCAAAGGCAAAAAACATGATATCAATGCCTCGTCTGCTTGCGTCCTGATCTGATATTCCTATGTTCAACAAAGTGTTTACCACATTAATTTCTAACAAGCTGACAGTAAGCATAAGCACAAGCTTTTGAGACAAAAAAGACATTTTCACAGATGGTGTTGGGAATCAGTAACAGCACTAGGAGTGGCGATTTTTTAAAAAGATATAAAGTAGAAAAAACAGATAACGATATACGCACGGACAGACAGACTCAACAAGAGCTGTCTTAGAGACTAAAAATGTACTTGAGAAACATGCGTCAGAAATTGGATACTAATTAGTGCAAAGACAGATAAAGAGACAATGGGAACTATAAACAACCCGGATGTACGTTAACATAAAATGCAACATAGTCCATAATCTTTTAACAAAATTTCACAAATTTCCCAGAATATAAAACTGTTTAATGCTCAACCGTTTTAGGTTTGGCAATAAAACTCAAATGTGGCAACTCAGTGAGCAAGTTTTCAGAACAGTCCGAGTTTCAATATTCGTTTTACGCATTTCAGGCTGTTTGCTCGCTACAGCGGCATTACCCAAGGCAAATGGGTAATGTTACTGAATAAACGTAGAGTATTTGCATAACTAAATGGAAGCCATTCTTCAAAGAATCTTCTGAACGTACAAATGGTCTTATAATGGAAAATCGAATAATAGCTATAGTAATAATATGCAAATATGCGATTGGGTAGGAATCAAAAATGACCTGAATGAGCGGGACATCCGATATCAGATCATATGCCTGGCAATTTCCGGCATACCTTCACGGGTATTTGATTTGGCCAGCAGCATAAATTAGTCCAGCTGAAACAATGGTAGTTCTGTGCCACTTTAGAACCTAAATCTTTAATAAACAAAATTACTTAAAGTGGAAGGCATTACTCAGTATTATGCCAAATCCACTCTATTCCACATAAAACGCAAATTTTGTCCTAAAAACTAGTTTCGATGGAACTAACAAGCATTAACCAAGTTATAATTCTCTGATAATTTTGGTTCGCTGATTTTGGATTAAAATAAAGTGAACATATCGATGAAAACGCCCAATCAAAATAGACACACTGCGCAAATCTACCACTGAACCACTAACCACAATGTACCTTCAGTGTGCGCAGATGCAACATCTAGTAATTTTATACATTGATAAAAGGCCAGGTTATTTTAATTGCAGCAGAACCAAATTTGGTTCAAAATCTGCATCCAAAAACAAACAATGCTCACGTGCCCGTATATTTGTATCCTTAAAGGTGATTTATCGATATGCGAACAGGTCAAACTTTCATAAACATGTTTGCACACCAAAATCGAGATCACGAAATAAAATTTTCTCTTCTGTTTTGTTAAAGTGGGCAGTGAGAAATGGTAAGGAAGAGCATGTAATTTCAAATCCGGATTGAGTCATGACTAAGAATCCACGCGAATTCTGAATTTGTGAAAAGCTCTGCAATTGATTGGATCAAACGACTGGGTTTCCAATTATAATGTTCGCCGGTACGGTTTCCCTATGATTCTTGATAACCGATGCAATGTTTAAAGTTGAACGCATTTTTAAGTTGTCAGTTAAATTCGCTTAAAATAATTTTCATATTACAAATCCCAAAATAAAGGAAGTATTTATAGATAAACACGGTGTGCTTTCGGAAGAATATCTTATCATTCACACCACTCAGACAAAATAATCTGAAAATGAAGCGACTAAATGAAATCTGTACAAATACAGTTATACATTTTAGCTGAATGCGCATGAGTCTAATGAGACACGGTAGTGTTCTAGGTGGCTCTAAAAAGGCTTGCGTTCGAATGAGAACAGTTTAAATGAGATTAACCAACCACAGCGAACTTGTGTCATCAACAGGATTAAAAATTAACACAGCCAAAGTTTTTTTCATTCCTCCCACTACCTGCTTGCCCAGCTAGAGACAGAGGAACGAGTACAGCTCTCGTTCCTCCAATCTGGTTGGCAGCTTTTATTGAGCTCTGTGTGATTGTATGTATTTCCGGGAGACAAAACAATCGCCAAATTTGGGTTTTGGCATAACCTAAACTTAATGTGAAATTTTTGAGGTTGAGTGCATCGGTTTAGCTACAAAAAAGCTTTGAAATTGCCTTCCGCGCATTGAAGCATAAGATTTCTTCCAAACAATGCCTCATCCTTTCAAAATAAACGATTGTTTACCCCTCTAAAAAGGGTTATAGTAGATAGTAAGTTGGGTATTCAGTAGCGCATTTTACTTGTATACACTGCAGGATATAGTCCAATGATTTGCGTTTTTAATCCCCACCATCAAAATGAAATCATGTTTTTAAGCGCATTAACACAACTCAGCATCACTTCACTCAAATAAAATTTGATAGACCCGTATTTGTGAAAAGTTCGTAAATTCATTAACACAAAGTAATTAAACAAAAAATGCAATAATTTCACATAGCTGGTGCTGCTGTTAACAATATAAAATGTTGGAAACGATGGGACAAAATCGTCCCATTTTGATCAAAATTCAGGGTCTAGAGAGTCGGAAATAATTATTCAAGGCTCTCCACTAAAGTCTAATCAATGCAAAAGTTATTGTAGTCAAAGCCTTTTTATAAAATAAAGAACCTGCACGATTAACACTCCTTTTCTTAAAGCTCTGAAGAACCACCATTAGTATTAAATTGTAAAAATATACTCGAGTGGGCCATCATTCATCTATGATAAATTGAACACTTTACCTAAGCAAATCGGTCAATTATTAACCAAATCAACTTTGTCTGTATGGTTACTTCTAAAAAGCCCTAGAAACCCAATCCATCTGAAAAAATATCACATGAAAAACTTTTTACCACTTTAGCACACTGATGAATTCATGGTCTTAAACATTCCACTTTCGAATTATTATACGCCAACATATTTCTAGCACTTGCTTTCAGAAAGTGGTCATCCTTGAATAAACACATATATCACCGGAAAAATAATTTGAATTAAAAGGTGTTTTAGTAAAACTCTTGAAGTACTGATGACACACTAAAACGAGAAACTTTTGGGATCAAATGGTCTTCATACAATTCATAGAGGACAACATTAAAAATTACTCGGTTCACACTAATTTTCCAATTTTTTTTTCATTTACGACACGCAGAAGAGAAGAATTTTTGCACGCATACACTTCTCAAACAGGTTAGAAGCAATGACCGCATTAACGCGTTAGAACTCTGGCCTTAACCATCAATTTTGTCCAAAATATATAGTTTCTTCTTACGTTGAACAATATACTATCGATACCACTAAATTCAATGTATCCATGCTCCCCCCTTGACAGCAATATTCAAAAAATGATTTGAAGTCCAAAACATACATAAACTAAAAACACTTGAACCACTGCAATTTGCTAAGTACATAATATCGAATAGGAGCGTTTCCCATCAGGAATTCCAAATTTAAGGAACAATACGGTACAAAAACCTGTGACGTGAGATGACCGAGCGTTTTACATGAAATCGTTCTCCAAGCATTAGAGCAAATGCGCCGAGCTACTTTACTGTCGTCGATCAAAAAATGCAGTCATTCTTAATCGGAATAAAAGATAAGCAGAAATGAACAGGAATTGAGAGAAGGCTTTACGATTAAATGGTTTTTAAAGAGTCATAGATAGACAATGGATGTTCTAATTAGACCACTTTATTGCAAACAGTTGAACTCCGATCAACTTTGATGAAACAATAAGATAGGCTTCCCACAATTAGTCCAACACTCTAAGTAAGACTGACCCCATACATGCATCAAAAACAAATTGTTTCCGCGTTTTGCGTTGAATAATAAGGTGAAAATTCCTTTTTATTAAGAACTTACGTTCAGTTTGCCAAAATTTTGGAGAGTAGGAAGAATTGATTCCTTTAATCTTTAGCCACGAATATGCAATATCACTCACCCCTTCTCTAACCCATTCAAAGATTGGATAGCGGGAGGCGATGTCCTGCTTCAACTGCTCATCATTGAGTAATTCGCCGGCTTGTGTGTCCACAATGAGCAAACGGCCCGGCTTTAATCGAGACTTAGCCTTGACACCGACCACATCGGGTAGATCGACTACGCCGACCTCGGAGGACATGTAGATCATGCCATCGGTAGTGGTATAGTAGCGTGCAGGACGCAGACCGTTTCTGTCTAGAATAGCGCCGATGTATCGGCCGTCGGAGAAGACAACCAACGCTAAGAGTAGAAAAGAGCCGAGGTTATTCATTAGGAGCTTGAATACAGAAAAGGTAACTACACTGTATCCCTAAGATGGTATTATGTTTAATCCGTTTCAATTATCTGGAATAAATTGAATTTCAAGAGGGTAGATAAGGCTTTACAAAAGTTAGGACGGCTTATCAAAGGATTCGAAGGCTGTAGAAATCATGTGACTCCAACACACACCAACTATCTAAAACCAACCAAATTCGGATACCAATCTCAGTTGTTTAAATGATGCACGATTTATATATGAAGAAAAGAAAAGATCTTTTAAAAACATTTGGTGTCCTACTTGTCTCCCCACAATTACCACGTATTTCTGCCCAAAATCTTGAAATCCACTAGTTTTCAGACGATAAACATGAGGAATAGGTTGGGATTTGGTGGACACAACGACCAAAAATATAGCAGATACACCATGAAAGACTAATGATCGAAAAAAAAATTCTGAGTAAGGGTTCCAGAGGAACTGTTACTACAACAGCCACATATTTTAATCGATCTTTAGAGAAATTTCCACACAAATGGGAAGCTTTGAAAATCTGAAACTTTTTTGAGGCAAACGACAGCATATTTCGAGGAGCCACGACTCTTGCAATGGCCACTGCTGATGTATAATTGAGATCGTTGAAGGACTTTTAATAGAAGACGGAGGCTACGGTGCGCGCAATACCTGCTATAGTTTTATTGATATATTGTTATTTTAGTCCGGTCGTCAAGCCCTTGTTTCCAACCTTGAACTTGCCTATACCGCTACAAAAGCATCCAGATACCCCTACGTGTTACGACTACTTAGGCAGCAATTCGAAAATCATAACAACCACTTTAACTAATTCTTGCAGAGCATAGTGATTGCCTTACTACCATGCATTCCAAATGCAAGACGACTGTATTTATCGCGTAGCTCTACGGTTTTAACCAGCCACCAAGTCACCCCAAATTCGGCGGGGAGTACATTCATAAGAAAGCAAAATCAGAGTTTGTCTCATAAAAAATTTGTCAAGAAAACACAGATTGTAGCTGCAAATGAGAGACGACATCAACTAGAACATATATTGTGCATTGCCCAACCGGCATCCATCGTCTATTAGCAAGAAAATGCACCGAAGTCGCAATTCTACAGATAACTCAAATAAATATGCGAAATTGAAAGCTACATCTCTTAATTAGGAGCAAATTGATGAGAATCTAGTAGAAATCCCGGGATATAAAAAGCTTTCCCTGATCCAAGGGGTGAAGCCATTATGATTGTATAATTATTGCTTTAAAAATCACTATAAGATGGAGTGATTCACCCTACAAATGGCAAGATCAAGGGATCCAGGAGACATTCTATTCTTTCCCCCACTAATAAATTGCTTTTGCTTTACATCTAATCAGCTAAATAGAGCAGTAATCCAAGATTTCAACAAATCAAAAGGGGTTTGCATTTCTCGCTCTATTGCCCTTGGTTTTAAAAAGAATTCAAATTCCTAAAAACTTGGCAAAAAAGAAGGCTTTCTTCTCCTGTAATCCCCTTCTTGAAAGTAGAGCTTGATTGCTCGTTTGGATAAACAAACGGGTGAAAGCTTTGCAATTGCACCGCATAGTACGGGTGGTTGTAAATTAAATTTAATGCAAGTTGTTGCGTAATCCCCTTGGAGTGTAAAATATGTCTAATATAGGACTAGTTAATCGGTAGATAAAGTAATAAGATGGCATGGAAACCCTGAAGCATGCTAATGCTGATCTAATAATGCTCACAGAATGTTCATATTTGGAAACAAATTCCCGAAAGGACTCCTAAAAGTATTGCAAAATTCAGAAATTACCGACTTCAACCGAACAACCTAATCACCAACCACACCCAGATAATACAGACCAAAGGCTTGAATTCAGGGAAGGAAACTAGCTGACTGTTGGTTATACCAATTAATCAGGAGGGCTTCTTTTCATGACTCGATATTTTTAATAACACTGAAAGTCAATTACTGGGAAAATTTCAGAAATTTGCCCTAATAGGGACACCAAGATGCGAATCCGAAAGGTCGAATCACTTTAGTCTATGGAGCCAATTTTGGACTGTGAAGTCGATTAAGCGAAGTGATGATACTTGTATAAGGAAGAAAATGTTGATTACGTAATATCTTTGTGCCCAACAAAAAAGTAAATGGCAAACATTTATATAACATTTAGGCAGACGTGATGAACAGAGTGATTGTGCAGACTGGCAATGTGGAGCACAGCCTTTGCGAGTTCCCATGATATAAAATTACGCAAAACATTAGATTCAATAATGACAAAGAATGGTACAGGGAAACACTTTCTGTCCATGACATAAATGACATCATGGTGGTAGTTAAGGTAACAATCCATGAGCAATGGGCTGTGAAAGAGAACACCACCAGCTTCGTAATTGAAAACCAGACACCATGAAATTTGACCGTGGAGTAAAACATAGAGCCATGCAGACGAGAACCGGGAATCTGATTGGCAACTAGTCAGATGTGAGAGTCAGGAATTAATGAATAGGGCAGGTCTAGTTTATTACGGTATAGATGAACTAAATGGACATTTATGTGTGCAAATAAAATTAATTAATTACAACTACTCTGGATATTTTACGCTTATAGCCAAGAACCACCGATTTCAACCGCACTGGGAGGAAAAAGGCGGAAATTTGGCCAACTTTACTAGACCATTGAAAAGCGACATGAAAAAGCTGAGACTTATTCAGGACGCAAATCGGCGGTTGGTGGGTGACACAGGTCACCCATGTACTTTAAAATTCAACACCCAACAGACCCCTGAAGAAGTACAAATATTTACAGCGATTTCAAAAATTGTTATTTAAATAGCTAAAGGTTTTGTATTAAATATCAGCAACGCAAAATTTTGAGCAGAACCTAACGTGGCCAATTTTTGAAACATCAAAGGACCAGAAATTACATTAATTTGACAAAAGAAACCTGTTGAAAAAGCGAAAGAACAGGGAGAACCCAAAACGTTTGTCACCTAGCAAAAAATGGACACCGAGTTGCAATGAAATAGCCCTGCATGCTCTAAGCCAGGCAACTCGAAATTCATGCTGAGGCGCTGCAGCTTGAGCAATCTAAACGGATGGCAAGATACCCTGGAAAAGCCCATTTTTGTGACACTAAATTTCACCTTCACTGCTACAGATTATGAAGTTTCACTAAGTAGTGAAAATAGTTCAAGCCCAATAAGGCAAACCTACTGAACACGAAACAAGCTAAAGGATTGTAAAACAGTTGCCATCTAACATTTTAATACAGAACAAGCCCAAAAGTTAAGCGAAATATCGATCGATTAAATAAAATAATCAGAAATATTTTACTTCTGGTGAAAAAACACTTATAGTAGAAGGTGAGGGTCAGCCATTTTGGAAGAATAAAAACTGAGATCCACGAAATCCCACATGAAAGGCTTAGTGAGAGGGCGCACGACTATGGATTTCATGGAGCAGTGGGACTCTGAAGACTGTTCCCATTTAACACAAAAACTTGCGTATCTGATTATTGAGACGGAATAACCTTGGATGGGTCAAGTCCAGCACTAAAAAACCTATGAGAAAACGGTGATACGTATTCTGTTTAAATTAGTAATTAACGCTAATAATTACGGATTCTGATTAGGGAATAAAAAGCCAATCGCTAGAAAAAATAAGAAGAGAAATAACCTGAACGCAATCCCGAAAGCCTACTGAGGTTGCTCAAAAGATGCATAAAATTGGTGTTTTTGATTGTCAGCGTCTGAAAACAGCTGGACAGTGACAAATTGAGGAAAGAAAGCTCACCCGGACCATCCCATGGTTCGAGCAGGCTGGCAGCCCACTTGTAGAAGACGCGTTTGTGCTGGGGCATGGCCTCGTCTGCCTGCCATGCCTCAGGAATCATGGAGATGACCACTTCGGGCAGGGATCGAGTACTACAATAGCAGAGGAATTCCAGAAGGTTGTCAAAGCATCCCGAGTCAGACATCCCGCTCTCGATGATTGGGAAAAGCTGTTTAAGCCTCTCCCCAAACCGTGTGCTTTCCATCAGTGCCTGACGTGCCCGTGCGTAGTTCACATTCCCCTAAAATAAGGAAAAATGCGCATTTAGTTTGATAGTAATTATTTGGCAAAAAGGGGGAGCTAAAACCATACGGAGAGCAAAGCTTTACACTCATACCACCTATGACACCAGTCCCCAGCTCTTCGGAGATCGGTGACGAATTCACAGAAGAAAAAATTGCATTAATAACATATTTACCATCAGTACTAAAAAAATTAGCAAAGATTTCATAATCCTCAACATAACACGATGTGGTGGTTCCAAAGAGAGATAGCTCTCTTGACTGAAGTGATGTGAAGCCATTCTCACATAATCCCCTAACATACCGCTTAACAGGTAGCCAGTCTTAGAGAGACGTAGACACCAACCCATAGGAGGAGAGTTCAGTTTAAAACATTTCACCAACCCTTAGTGTGTTGATTTCACCATTATGCGCCATCATGCGTTGCGGATGGGCTCGAGACCACGAAGGGAAGGTGTTAGTCGAGAAGCGATTGTGCACGATTGCGAAGTGGGTTCTGAAGTCGGGTGACTGAAGATCCTCGAAGTAATCCCACAGCTGACGGCTCGTAAACATACCCTGGGAAAAATTAAATTCATTGAAAATAGAGGCTTACAAAGATTAGGCTCCCTTAGATAAAAAATCTCTCAGCCAACCTTGTAGACCACAGTATTTGGCGACAGACTGCATATGTAGGCAATTTCATCTGTTTCGAACTTATGTGAAGCATACTTTCGAAGAAAGAATACCTGAAATGTAAAAGGAACACTCTTAAAAGTGCGCTATCTCGAAGGGGTTCATTAATGTGTCTAGTGAGAAGTACAAAGGCCAGTGCTGAGCTTTGACTTGCGATTTTTATTTTAAAGTGGCTGGGGTTTTAGGTACAAATCTGTGATATACATTTTAATGGATAGAGAGTATAGTTTATTGGTTAGTTAGTTTCTTTGTGGTCGTAATGCAGCGCCTTTTCATGACAAAAACAATGCAAGTTAAAAGCTTTTACTCAAATTAATTTGAGTATCTAGCAAATGGTGGTAATTTTTTTTCTGGACTTTAAGTTATGTTTGATCCCTGTATTCCTGAGTACTTAAGAAATCATTCTTTATATAATCAATCTCTAATCTTATCCCCATTATGAATAAATTTATGCACTATGCAGAAAATTAAAGTAGTCATTTACTTCATGCTTAAAATTTTGATCCGAACCTTGATATCGTATGAAGTTAAACAGATGGTTTAACTCACTTTGCAGACAAATTTCATATTTTTAAAGTCCTCTTCCTTCCCATTTGGCACTACGAAGACCTATAAGTTGCAGAAAAGAAAAACATATTAATTTTTCAATTTAAAGACATCATCCCAAATCTCTGCAATCACTTTCACCTGAATAGTGACGGGTTCTGCGAAGGCTGCAACTGGTCCAATTTGTGAGTTGTTAACATCTGCTTTGCGCCAGAACAGAACCTGAAAGATAGAAATTTGAATGGAGAGCAGCGAAAAGAGAGTGGAGAGAAAAGTCAGCATTTAGTTGAAACCAACCCGCATTTCACACTCCTCGGCGTACTCGGCGAAGCGGTGCATCGCTTCCTCCACCCTGTCCTTCTCGTTGATGAAGAACATTCCGACCGCAAATTCGCCCAAGGGTGGCAATGTGACACCTGCCTCTCTAAAGAACAAAAAAAATATTCGTCTTAGAGTTTTTGTCAAATAAATAAATACCAGAAAATAGTAGAGTCAAGCGTCTCCGTGACTTTCAAGATTGGTGCTGAAATATTCTCGTACCTATAATCCCTTCTCATGAATGGTCAACCAGAAATTTAGATCACGCCTTTACAATAAATTTAAAAGTAGCAGAGACGTGCGGCGAGCTTCCAGTCATTTGAGGTTCTATTTGATTTTGCACTGACAACTGAGGGGTATCACAATAAACTCATTTTCTGAGCGGGTTTAGTTATTTGAAGATAAATGAATACCAAAGATTCATAATTTAAGCACATAATAATAACAGTCTCCGAAGGGTAAATATCTCGGTTTAAACACATTGGCTGTTACTCTATTATGGTGTTCTAGTATTATGCTTTGAGAAGGCAAAAATTATTCCTATCACAGGTCTTTTGCAAATAAAATAATCGGAGATGGAGGAAAGAACAGCTTTCTGCAACTCTTTCCCAAAATACTTTATTATTGATGGATTGTTTAGTGTGAAATTCAAAGCTAAAGTAAAAGTAGCCTTAGAAATGATTCAAAAATAGTTGATAATGCAGGATGATTAAGGAAGATCAAATATAACTGCAATCTACGCTTCTACGAGCGGTATAAATCAGGTACTTTTCAAGATAAAACTTCCCATCAGTTCCGACGCAGCCAAGACACGGGACAATTTCCCATTGACACCAAATCAACTATAAAGACTCACGCAGATGAGGGTCAATTCCCTATTCTCGTTTAGTCAACTAGTGACTTGACCTAAAGCCATTTCAACCAGTACTGAGGGGTGGAAATAAAGAACTCACTTAGCGAAGCGTTCGTAGAGCTCATAGGGAACGCCAGTCATAACACCGGCGCCGTCTCCCGTCTCATCGTCGCACCCGCATGCTCCTCGGTGCTCCATGCGGTTGAGCATGGTGTTCGCCTGCTCAATCACCTACAAAAAGCAGCAGTACTAGCATGGGTGTGCTAAAATATCTCTCTAATCCTTAACCGAAATCCAAACAAAGATGGGTGTACAAGTAACAGACAGGGGTTTCTGACGTCCTAAACATGCCTCTTAAACTGACCTAGATTAGTAGATCCCCAATTAAGTGCAAAAGTGTGAAATAGATCTAAGACAAAAATAACAGCGCACATTCCTTAAAAGTGTATTGATGACAATAACGATACCGAGATATCACCGAGTAGTGTATTACCGAACGTTTACCACGGCACCACAATTAAAAAATGCACCCGCAATACAGACAAAGCCATCACTGAAGTTTAAGAATGATCCTATCTCCTTTATTTGTCATTAAAATTACGAAAACAATCTAGATTTCAGAATGTGTTTAAATTCTTTCGAGTTGTAATCCGCGAAAAATTTTGGTTTTTTTCACACTATGCACTTGTCTGAAAAAGCGGCCCCTGTCATGTGCTTGCCTCAACAACAACGCAAATCACAAAAATTTTCGACAAAGTACATCCATAAGGTGATCGCACCCCAACCTACTCAACACCTTCCGTTTTTGATCTTCTTTTCAAATGAAACATGTCTCCAGCACTGACCCGGCTACCACCTCGTAAGTCAGTTAAATGGAAAATATTCTCGATTGGATACAAGAAAGGCGGATATAAGTCTTACCAGGAAGTTGTTGAAGAAGACGCCAGAATAACGCTAGACGGTGTGACTGCAAATAACCTTTATTTAAGCGCTAAAAGCCACCCAAATTTTAGCAAAAAAAAACAAGAAATGCGTCTATTTTAAGCAGCCCCATAGCCAAACAGATGATACCACTACGAACGCCTTTGAAGCTGCCTTTGTTATTAGAAAGGGTTCTCGCTCTTTACTCACTGTCACCAAACTCAGGCATCCTTTTGTCTTGTAAATTTTTTCCATGCCATCAACTAGACAGAAATCTAACTGGACAACGTTTGTTTGAACGACATTTCTTGATAGAAAGAAGGAATGGGTATTTTGCTTATGGTCAGGTAAATAAATTTTTCTGATTTTGAATCTATTACCGTTAGGAAAAGAACTACAATTTACAAGTAAAATCCCATCAATGTTTCTAGCGTGTGACCCTTTTGACATACAATCAACTTTGGTAAATAATAGATAAGCCTTTCGTTTAAGCGATGATCAAATCTGCAAGCCTAATTAATTGCAATCGCCAAAGCAAATAAATTATCTACAGGTTCACTTAGTGTTCATGCTATTGCCAAAAAATAAACCTTTTAGTCATCTCTCACACCATACAGGTATACACCAGGGTCTCGCGCATGACCTCCACATTATTAACTAAACGTTGACACTGACTATGTAATTTTAGGTTTGGTGTGAAGTAAATAATTTTTCTGCTTTCACTTGGTCTCATTTTTACAAAGTTAAATCCTTCTTAGGAGTTCAAAGGCCACTTTATCTCCAAAAATGACAAAGTGCATACACCACGCAGTTTGTTCAACAAATCAGATGAAATAAAAGAGCTAAAATTAGCTCGCAGGACCAGAGAGGAAAATGCACATGTGCCCCGCCAACAGCACGCGTGTCCATGACTAAGCAGAAGTGGGGAAGTTAGCCTCGTATTTACCACGCGCTTCTTACCACATGAGGTAATATTTAGGCGCATAACACGTGCTCCTGATACGCGCAGAAATGTAATATATAAGATATCCATTTCGAACTGACATGCGACTTTAAAATAAGGATAAAGGTGCACTTACAAAATGAGTACGACTAAAAATTCGCCTAATCCCATAAGCTAACTAAATGCAGATAAGAAAACGATGAGATCTTGATTTTAGAATATTCTTGAATCTTAAAGTCTCATGACAGCGGAAGGCACGGAACTTACCATGGTAGATCTTTCGCCATGGACATTGGCAACGAAGCCCACACCACAAGCATCATGTTCGTCACGAGAATCAAAAAGTCCACACCTGTAATGTTCAATTTTCTTGTCAAAAGCCATGTTGGAACACACTAAGAGACAAAACGTCCCAGTACCAAACACACGGCAAAATGTGCGACTGTGGGCGTTGTTGAAATATTATGAACGTCTGTTTATTAAAGCGAGCTCTGATTGGCTAAGTGGAACAATCCTAAGAAGATCTTTAAATTCTTATTGGTCACTGGTCAAACCAGTCACAGATTAAATGAGGTTGCTTCTACCAATCCATGCAGGGCTTTAAAAGGTGTCCAGACCTCGTGGTTTGGGCTCACGGGTTTACCAGCTCCCCCGCTGTATTCATCATTTTCAGCATTTTTAAATAAGTTAACAAGCCTCATTCTTGGCGATTTAGGGCGCCTTATTGTAGTGATTTCAACATTAACGAAGTCTTAACTCAGATGACGAATTATCGAGATTACTCAGTTTGAGATATCTAATTATCAGATTTTCTAGAACATCACTTGGCTTTGGAATCATTCATTTTATTTGCGTAGCTTCGTTTAGCTTTGAATACTGTGGCCAATGATGTTGCAACCACAGATGCTCTGCCTATGAAGTACACGGCCATGGATGCATTACCTGAAAATTGACTATTATGTTTGGGTGTGGTCATATGATATTCCTCCTAGAAGTTCAATCAGTGTCTGAGATGATGCAATTGCGGCAGACATGAAAGCTTCGGATTTGTTTCCCCGCTTGCAATGATATCGCCTCTGCTGGTTTTACTCTGGCAAACAAAGATAAGGTAAATTTTGTCACCCTTATGACCTGCTGTCAACGTTGGAAAAAGTGACCTTTTTTGACAAAAAAAAACAATTCAAAGCATTAATCCATGGGTGGGTAATGTTGTGGGTTGACTGATTTTCGGTAAAACAAAAGCCAGTTTCGTTGAGTAGATGTGCGAATTTTGTAACCTTGTAACCTTACGGTCGTTTCGGTTTAAACCAGTTTTGTGTAAAATGAAAAAAATAAGTAGGGTTCCATACCGCTGTGGTATGTTTCAGTGGATCTATTGGGTAAGACTAGGAAATTTTAATGAGGTGGCTGTCGAAACATGACTCACAAAACCACATCAAGTCTGATTAATTTCACGTCTAGACAGCACCAATGGCGCACAATATTAGTCTATGTATCAGTCCTTTTTTGAATTAGCGTTGCGAGATGCTTACACTGCTTTTTTCTACAGCCTAACCACGGCCATTAGGTCTCACGTAGACCTCGATACCGGACATCATATGCAGCATAGATTTCCCAGGTCTGGTCGGACTGGCTACAGGGCGGCCCCTTGATACATAGTATAACCATCGTAATTAGTAATATGCTTCCTCAATATAGGTTGATTTATTCTTTTGGAATGGAGTCGTCTCTTTCCAAAAAAAGGAATACAACATGCAAATGTTTGTTTACGTAGTGGAATATACTTTAATGTGCAGGTTGAGTCAGCGTTACACATGTGTCGCATCGATTTTTACCTAGGGATTATTGATTTTGACTCACAAAATCGATAACGCCTGTGCGTAGTCAGTGGTGTTTCCCTTAGCAACTGTAAAAAAAATTTTGCACATGAAACTGTGCAAAAACCTTACCTGAAACATTTACTTATATGCCTCCGCTTAGTGTCTCCTTTAATGTAAACGAGGTCACTTTGTCTTGCCCCCACCCATTGGTTTCCAGCCGCACAACTTTAATGGCATGAACAAACTGCTAGCAAGTTTTGGCAAGTCTAAGTTTTCTCTAATGCACGCAGACTCACCAATGCTTGATGGTTTGCTTTTCATTACACGCGGTGACGAGGGCAAAAGTTCATTATCGTTAGAGAGGCGTGACATCTGCTGATTTTGTTACAGCGGCAAAATCACGAAGGATATATGCTATTGCTGTTGTAACTGTATTATTGGTTCCCTTGTCACACACCTAACTAATGGCTTACGAAGATGCCAAAACTGGAAACGAAGCAACCTTTTTTAATTATTCACTGAAACGATTGAGCTTAAGAACATTCACATTAGATTGTCCTTATGTTCGGAGGTTATCAAGAACAGGGTATTTTACCACACATTACAACTAATCCAATTTGCGAGGTAAAACTAATTTTGAATTTCAATCCTTCGATTTGGGAGGAATTATTTTTACCAAAATCCCAAATCTCAGTGCATCCTACTGTCATAATTCAGTCCCTTACTTTGTTTATGGAAGGGGTTTGCTCCACTAAACGCGATGAAGCGTGTAGATAATACTGAGGGACAATAATTTCGCTGACTCTGCAAAGTATTTACAAGTTCGCACCAAAAAATGATATTTAAAAACAGCAGTTCACAGCATCGTGCGACACATTTCAACCAGCTGTAATGTCGTATTTGCTGCATGATGTTTGATTAATGAATTAATTCGAGAGAACTATGAAATGGGCGGTGAAGCGGAAAAAAGTTGAGTTTTCTGCGACCATACCCCCCAGAAACGGAATTTCACTTAGTCAACTTAAGGAGGTTTCATAAAACCACGTACTGCTCACTGACTAGCAAAGAAGGAATTTTACCAGGCTTTAAACCCACTCAATAAATTACGCCACGGATTATCGATTTTTTCAACAAAAATCGATGACTTACGGAAAGATGGTGGCAGTTTAAAAATTGATAGAATTTTCCGCAATTTCAAGAACTGTGAGAAGTGCGAACTGTAAGTTGGCACCCGATTATGCACTGCAAACTGACAAAACAAAGTAAAAATTTTGCAAAATTTCGTTATACTTGGTGTACCTTACCATATTTTTAACATGATAAATAAATGATGCCACTGATTAATGGTTGTTAATTCGAAAAGCCGATGCTTTGCAACGTCTCAAGGCTCCCCCAAAAGACGAAAGAAGTCATACAACTAGGACAGAAAATGTGTTATCGATGTACAGACGGGCTAGAATGGGGCCCGGAGGCCATGCAGCCCAGTAGAAGTACAATCACGGAGCTTTAAATGACCACGAAACTCAAAACAAAGAGTTAATCAAAGTAGCACAGAGCCCCTCCCGTCTTTTGAGCGTCGTCCCCGGTGCTTGCTTTGCTCAACCTCCCCCCCGTCGGCCATTGCAACGTAGTCAGAAGTGTGGGGAAAAACACCCAAGAATCAACTGCCACAGTCATCAAATTTGCATTCATCTGAGAAGATCTTGGAGTGCTATGCCACTGATCCACTAGATGTGGGATTTCGTCCTGTTTGGGAACTGTATTGAGGGAAGGAGTGATGAGCAGGATCATTTACAAAAGGACGAGGTTCAAAATAGCTTCATGAGTTTACGCATTTGTTTGCACTTCAGTACTGCCTAGCCATACCTATGTGGGTTTTATCTAGCTACGGGAAATTGAGGAGGCATCGTGTGTTCACCTAGTTGACATTTCTACGCGAGTCACGCAGACAGCTCCGTAACGAACTTTTCACAGATGTTCTACAAATATAGCGGGTTCATTTGTTAATAGATTTTCTGCGGAACACCAAACAGCATTAGTTGCCTATGGTTGAAGTCATGTTTAGACCTTCTATTGGGGGTCGCCACAGATCCTCCCAGCCGCAGCATATGCACTTTAAGGTCACGTTAAGACTTAGAATTTAGTAATAAAAGTCAGCGTAGTTCCCCTTTATGATTAGGCTCGCTTTCCTCGGGACTTCCCTAAAGACGAAAGAATACACAATACTAGGGTAGATGTATTGCCGACGCATAGACGGCCTGAGAGCTATAGCATGTCCCGGTGGCCATGTCACTGCGTGGAAGCAAAAAGACGGCGTCTTAGGCGCCCACAAAACCATAAAGGCGAGTTAAACATACACTCAAAGTGTTACATCTTGGCAGAAAGATGGCTGAAACACGAGGGCCACTAAGACCTTAATTACCACGACTCAATGGAATAAAAGGCGGTTTGGTTTATTTGTTCTTGAAAAAAAACTCCCGTATATTTATTGCAGTAAGTAATTGGACTCAAACATGCGACTTTAAGCAGTCCAACAAATACCATTTAATGAAACATTATTTGAAAACAAAACAACGTGCAGCACAAGTTTTCCTCCTTAGGGTGGTCGGGTTTCCTCGCAGTTACCAGTGGTTGGACGGAGAAATTGACTAAAAGTTGGCTCGTAAAATACCATAATTAATGTACTTTGCCACAGTTACCGTGCGCTAAACACGCTATTGGCTAAAGAACTCCGCAGCGAAAGTGAGAAGCAAAATTTTGTACAAATATCCATTTACAATCCTCTCATCGCATGATGAAATTAATTTCTGGTGTTGAGATGGTCAGAGTAGTCTTATGACATATTTTATTATTTATTAAGCCCACCATCCCCCCTCACTCATTTAACAGAGCAAATTTTAATTTGGACTTTTGCATACTGTAGGTCAAACTGTCGCTTTATTGCCTTGGCATTTTATTGCTTTAACACACCCATTCTCCTGTTTTTAAAGCCCAAAACAGCTAAAGTCACCATCTCTAATCACCATTAAAGCGTTTTGAGCACAAGTATCTCACCGCTCACTGGTTATATCAGCGTAACTAGGCGTAACTGGGATTATGTCGACTGACCTTTTATTGAAAACAAATGAGCACTTTCGAAGGGTAACATCTTACCTGAATGAAATTGATGACCGCATTTATTTTCAGGATTTTAGTGAATCAAGAGTAAATCCAACCAAGTTAAAGTTTAGTCACCCTTAAAACACCTGAACGACGTCTCCCGAGGTGAAGACTAGGAAGTTCAAGTATATTTGAGGACACTAGCAAAAAAGTTATTTGTTTTTTAAAAGGTGAAATCCCAACATAATGCTGAGAACCCTCCATGAAGTGATGACACGCTACCGCGACGGAGAATTGAGAAGTTGGCGCATTCAACTGTTCATTAAAACACCAGGGCATAGCACCACGTCAAAAATAAGCGGAGAGTTATTTGGGCATTACTTTAAATGGAGAATATCATTAATTACACCAGTACAACTTATTTTGAGATTGTGCAATTCTAATTAGTGTATTTAATATGTGCACAAATCAAGTATTTAAACTCTACTTCAGTAAATTCTCGTTAAAGCAGCTAGTTTAAACCAAACTCGTAGCTAAGCGGATGACATCTACTGCCAAGGAGGGAAAAAAACTCTAATTCCCCTTAAAATTTGATTATTTGCAAACAGCCCCAGTTATACACAACAATAAGATATCTTCGTCGACATAAACTCCTCGTTTTAAGAGTCTAGAGTCGGAGATAGAAGAAAGTAACACTTGAAGCATTTTACTAAGCTTATTATATTACAGAGCGATGACTAATGTGGTCCACGAAGTTAAAAACTACCTTTGTGGCAGTTTAAGAGTCCGTTTACCTTTGAGAGTTTACAATACGGTTCCACAATAGCAAACACTTCATATAGAGATTTGGACTATCTTGCTAGCGGAGTAAATAAGATTGTTCCAAATTAAATGGAATTAGGTAAGGAAATGTTCAAATATTTGGTTCTAGGTTGATTTATAACACTTTATAGGTTCGAACTCATTTGTAACTTTCATACTTTGAATGTTCGGATATGAGTTTTGATGTCTCCGCAAAATCTTGTAAAAGCCATGAACAATAGAACCATCAAATTTGAGAGAAGGATGAAAATGGTGTATATTCGGAGGCAGACGATTTACATGAAACAATTATTCGCTAAGGTAACGCTGAAGATATAACGTTGCGAAGAAATGATAAGATTGGTGATACAACAGTAAGAGAATCAGAATAATGGTATCTGTACATTCATGATAGTGACATAAACTTTTATCCCACGTAAAACGCTAGGCGGTTCCGATCATATCAGAGAAATCCAAGGTTTGGAATGCAGACACTAAAAATGTATAAACCAGGATACCTTTAGTCAAATCATTGAACTCCAGCAATGTGCGCGTTCCGCCACTCATTTTGTGCAAATACTCAGGTGTAAATCATTACCAAAATTAACTAACTAATAACTTGGGCAAATCGCAATAACCAGTTCGTGTGATAATTCAATTTTATTTTTCTTATCTGAAGAGAATCTGAAACCCAGTACCAAAGACACGAAAATGCTTATTTTAGTTTCATTGAAACGCATAAACAACAAATATCCCCTGCACCAGAATGATAGGCAATTACAATATTTAAATAAAATTGCAAAAGATTTTTCTATTTGGCCTTACTTTTAGGTAGTCTGTCTGCTAAGCTTTTTAAAACACAATTACTGCTAAAACGAGGCGAATTGACCAGCCGCATATTTTGAAAATGCATTTTGTGTGCTTTGCAGTTGACCCATGGGAGGGTGGGTAATTAGAATAATTGTACGCGTGGCTGTAAGTACAGCAAAGAATAGCGTCGTGTTCATTGTGCGAAATGTAATACTCTTAGCTATGTTGCCGCCAGTTCTACAAATTTGTTGAGTTGTTTGGTCTTGTCTACAAGTGAATTGGATTTCAAAGCCCTCTATTCGTTTTTTTTTCTACCGTAGTTCATTACCGGCACTTAATTTTTCTTCATGTTTTGCCTAGTAGATGTGTGGTTTGTTATTTCATTTTCGGGTCATTTCGTCTAACTTCCTCACTTTGCGCGTGGCGTGCAAGGCAGTGGTTCATTTGTTAGGTGTAATATGCAATTTCTTTAGTAAGTTAAAGCTGTTAAATTGCATAGGATTTCGTGATATGGAATTTGGTCTTCACCTACTGTGGTATCGTTGATGTATGTTATATTTTCTCCTAGAGTCCCTAGTGCAATGGAATCCCGTTCGCAAATATTCAAAGCCCTCAGTGAACCGGACAATCTATTTCTCCTTTCTCGTACAGCCGTAGATGGTCACTTATATACTTGCCTTATTTACGTGGCATTTTGGCTGTTTTAAACTCAAATTTGCCTTGGGTTTCTAGATCAGCACTGCTCCAGTGGCTCTTCTTCCGCCTCCCTTCTTCCTCTCGATTCCCAGTCCCCCTTTCCTAACGACCATTTGACCCGGCGAATCCACTCAGCTGGTCAGCTAACTGTAAAGGCCCACGTCCCATATTCCGCCGTAGTTCACCACTGTGCATTCCGCCCTCCTGTTCTTTCATCAAGCGATCATCTCTCCGATTCATCCAGTGCCAGTGATGACGATGAAGGCAACGATGTAAATGATGTTTCTGCAAACCTGCAGTACGAGCGCTTCGGTGAAAGTCCTCTTAGAGGAGGTATGATTTACACAAAAGGAACAAGCCAAGTCGCTATGAGCTTGTGCAGGAATTTTTTTTGCACCACAGACACCCTCTCTGATCACCCCCACCTCGAATACATGATGCTTACGTCGATACCTCGGCGACGAGAGTTTTCCGAGCAGTTTCGTGATTTGGCGCAGCTCCATCAGCAAGCCGATGTGCCGCGTGCCAAATGGGAAGACGCATCTCGCCTCTTTCCTAAACAATTTGGTCTTCCGTCTTCTGTAGCAATCAATATTTGGTGAGTTAACATCTACTTAAAACCTGTTTTTACAAGGCACCACTACGATTTAACCCCGCCTGGTCATTGCTGTACCTGCTGAACAAAAACATCTGTCACTTTGTTTAATAAAGCTAGTTGTTGCAGTGACTTTTGAAGCAGATGTCACCTGTGTGTTTGAAAATTTTCGAGTTATCGTTACTTGGAGTACCCAAATTAGATCTAAATCGTTTGAACACTGATCCAAGTACTGTTTGAAGGGATGAATTAGTTTGTATCCGCAATTTTATCCTGAGGTGTCTTAGAGGTAGGACTGATGGGGGCTGCTGATAATGGTGGGAGAATTAATGCCAATTATTCTTAAAACAATGTGCCATGATCAAGGTGATAACTGATGCTAGATATTCTATGAAATTTGTTCCCATGTTGGAGAAGTGGGTGATTCCAGGCACAGTATCAATTTAAAATTGTGCCAGCTGCATTTAAAATATCTAAGGGAAGGAGTGGGAAAGTTACTTAGTAATTTTGACGATTAGTAGGTACGTCAGCCACTATTTTTAGGTTTAAATTTTTATGGATTTGGCTGGGCATGGTCTTCATAATCCTGAGCAGAGTCTTAAAACTTTATAAACGAGGGCTCATTTAGAGTTCTTTTTCAGCAAATTCGTTTACTTGAAATTGCTTACTGCTATTAACTGTTCACATTATTTGTGACTGAAATGAGTTGCCAAAAAGTGGGTTGAATTAGTGCTCTCATTCTATTAACCTCACTGCCTTTTTTCAAACAACCCCAAATTAATAACTATCTAAGCATTAATGGATTCCCGATTCACCAGATATGGGAGAACCTCGCCCTAGTTCGGAAGAAATCATGTTAGCTCTCATTTGAGCTGGCTTGAAGGATGAGGGAAAACTTGGGTTTTTTTCCGTAGAGACTAACAAATGTTCGTTTGAAATCATTAAAGACTCCTAAGCTTTTCCTCATTATCTTATGAGAAGGTGTTTTTTAGACCTGTTTGAAACACGGTTTCACAGAGTAGTTTAAGCTTAATATTACTTCACGACTGATCGGATGATCTTAACACCGATGTATGGGAAATAGTGTAGCTCAAACAGCTTTGATGAGTTATACCTCATCATGTTTGTTGCAGCGGTCCTAAATTAGCATCTCTTTATAAAAAAATTGTTCATCGTTTGTTGCGTCTTGAATACTTTATGGAACTAGAAGCACCGTAAGTAAAATTATGCGAAAAAATTTTACATGAACCAGTCTAATGAGACACTTTGGCGACGGTAGAGTTTTTAAAGCCCTCCTTTTTCGAGGCTGCTACGCTGCTATCCATTTCCTCATGGGAAATAGTTTGAACGACTTTCATTTTCAGCTTATTAGTCTTCGTACCCAGTAGAAACAACTTCTATTTTGTGTTAATCTATCTGATGATTAAAAAATCCCGTATGATTTTTGGTGCAGTTCGTTGCAAGGACATGCAACTTGTAGGAACGCGTAAAACGTATGCGATTGTTTATACGCACATTTAATAAAGCATGGGCGGTTATGACAGTCGGTACGGCATGGTACTATTCTTCTTTTATTTTCACTTTCAACATTGGTATCATAAGATATCGGTTGATTGAACCTGGTGGGTGTAGTTTAATCTTGTCTATTGCTTTACAAATTGAGCTTCACAGGATTGAAAGCTTTTTCTATAGCCTCTAGTGCAGCGTTTGAAGGTGTAGTATGTTGCTGCGACGCTATCGCGAATTGCGCACTACATGGGATTAACACTTTGAGATGGGAGAGAGATTCTATTTCATCGTTTGCATTTCTCTAATAATCTTACGTGTGAAAAGGTCACGGGAAATAAACCGAAATAATAGAACTAAGAATGACTAAGGCTAGGCTGTTGACTTCTAGGTGCGAACGCATTCCGTAAGTACAATTTGCTGTAAGCCTTGCCTTGTTGGGCGAGAAAGGTTGATAAGCTGTAATTGAATATTTCAACGAGTGAGATTCTTAAGTAAGCTTTCTGGGTTTTTATTGTAAAAAGCCATACAAACTCATTCGGTCACATTACACGCTTAGCCAAAACTCTTGCCTCTAATCCTCTGATTTGATTGAATTCCCCAAGATAGGATTTACATTTGTGGCGATGCAAGATTGTAGGCTAGCTTTTGTAAAAAAGTTGGCTGAAGCAAGTTTAAGATACCCCAAAACATCTTCAACAAATTTGAAACATGAAGACCTTGATCTCTGCAGCACTGAAGTGGGACTAATGAGATGGAATTTGGGTGTTAGATTCCGATATTTTTATTACTTCCTACAATATTATTCGTTAATTTTTTTAGCGTAAGACACTCAAGAGATGAGAGAGTAGACATTTTGAGAGTTCGCTCCTATCTTTTCTTATTTCAATTTCTCTCTTTCGATCTAATTCCGTACATATTCTTCAAGTTAACTGTAATCTGGATTATCATTTAAAAAATTCATTTTTAGCATTTGTAAACACAAGTATTTGGCTTTAATCCTACTTATATTTGCTGCTTTAAAATTGCATGGACTATTATGCACGATAAAAAAGATCAGATATTTAAGTTACGAAATTTTCTTGGCGTCTCGTCATGTCCCTGCGCAAAATAGGCTCCGAATTTCGTAAAGGCGTGACACTAAGGCGGTTTGCCATGGAAAAAATATGGGAGTCATTAAGAACCTTGCTGTTTCCAGGACTGTGCACAGTCGTGGACTTTTTCAGGGTCTGTGCTCACTTTAGACTAGCCTTACTTTTGTTATTGCGCCATTTTGTTTCCATATTTTCGTCCGATTAGGCAGTGATTTTGTAGTATCGTAGCGTTGAGACATCGATTTACTGCGCAGAATTTTTGGGGCTTACCACTGGATCTTTTTGAACATCACTTCACCACTGGAGACATTGATCGACTTGGATATTTTGAATTCCTCGTCAACTTTGTGGCTATTCAGACAACCTTGACCCTACACTTGGCAGTATCATTTTTGTTGTAGCCTAAACATGCATTAAGATAGTCATGGCCATTCATAGCCAGTTCCAGTTATTGTAGAAACTCAAAGAACACTAATTTGGATTGTTCTGGAAAACTGTTTCTTTTAGGTTTCAATTTTATATTACAAAATTTTTAGGCAAAATTACCGATATGGATGAACTCAACGTCATGCGTACAGCAAGGGGTTGCAATCCCAAACTCCTAGCTCTTTAAATTGACCTTAAGTGAATAATGTCTTGGAAATGCTTGGACTTTCTTTACATATTACATCTTAATCAGAATTTATTCTGTGCCTTCATACGTCCACCACATAGAGTTTCATAAAATAAACACTATCTATTATTGTAACTGACATATCAATCGACATTCGCAGTCGAGTTGAGCTGTCTCTGTCTGACCTAATTATTATTAATATTTACCTTAGCAGTAATAAAGTCAACATTATGATTGAAGCATAGAGGAGACTGTGCACTAATAATGACGTTAGCAACCACTACCAACCGGCTATCACTGATAAGTTTTTTCCTAATTTGAACTTTTCAAACAACATACAATTTGTGTTCTATCTCTGCTCTGCATAATTTCGTAACATCTAGAGTTTGCTAATCCTGTATGAAATTACAACTAATAATGTTGGAGTTGAATTCTCGAAGTTTGCTACTGAACCACTCGCGGGTTGGGGTTATTGGCAATTTTCAGCGGTTCGGATGCAACGGGTGACGCACTTGTGAGGGGAAAGGCAAGGCAGCAAATACCGTTCTTTGTATTACTTAGCCATAGCCCTTTAGGAAACACGTTTATATAAGGTATCCAAGTAGGTTCGCGTGGATTTTATGAAAGAATAATAAAGAGAAAAGGCTTCCACAAATATCCTATTCGTCAAACAAATAACTGCGATCTCTCACCTACACCTTCTACAATGAATTCCAAGCTTGCAACGAATTTGACACTCACGCAATGATTTTGCCTCAATATGCCAGGAACAATCCCGCCTTTGGGTACCTCGTTACTAGTATCTCACTCCTCCTCAATTGTCCACTCCACTTCGCATGTGACTTACAAACGTTAAGGAGCGATAATAATCGCCTGTATGAATTTAGTTGGGGAGTTACCGAGAATTAGGGTGGAGAACGATACGGGAATGAGACAATATCTTCCTAACTCCCCTCTATTCCTTTCCTCGCGTCGTGAAGTGCAAATTTTGTCGAGGGTTATTTTTGCAGAATGTGCGGCATGCCGGTGTTAAACCGTCCTGTTAGGGCAGGATCTTCCCCCATCTCCATCCCCATCCTCACATGGACAAGTTCTGAGTGTTTCCGAAGTAGGATTTTTTCGCATACTTTCGAGATCGAGTAAATATATCTCAGACGTATTTGGACTTCTCAGGAAGAAATGCATATTAGGTAGTTCTGTTCATGTGAGAGGCGTCTCTTGGTAAGAAGTGATGTGTTCATTATGGGTTGAAGAGTGAGTGGATCGTTTAGGAAACAATCAGTAGCGCGTTCTTTTGCGAACCAGTTAGTCAGTCGGCCACTAAACAATCCACAGCATCTTTGAAGCTTATTTTATGCCATTTTTGATGCATTTGTAATGGACTTGTTTGCCTTATGGCTTTATGTCTTTCTCACTTGCTGCACTTTCTTCACTCGCATTTAACACTACGCTCATGAAGGTCGCCCTCGACAAATCAATCTCGATTTCTTGTAATCTGCAGCGGTACTTAATTCTTTCTTACCGTTAGAATTGAGTGTATTTTCGAATGTGGTACATCGTCACGTGGTAATCCATCAACAAAATGACATTTTTCAAGTGCTAACAGGCCGTTGTAGTGGGCTATACCGAAAACCGTACGGACACTTTTGTTAGCCCAATGCCTGTCGAAAATTAATCGCGTGATGCTGATTCACCTCAAAAAACAACTAAAAGGGAATGTGTTCTGAGAGGATATCATAAACTGAGGGTTTTTCGAGGAACTGTGGTGATGTGCCTTTGCACTTCTCCAAGGTATCAAAATGCATTTAGAACATAGTGGTGTCATAATCATCACCTTTTTTCACCAAGTTCGCGTCGGCTTATTTTGTCCCAGTAGTGCAGTTTCAATCTTTTATGGGAGTAGAAATATGTGTACCACTTAGTGTTGCGAGCTGTTTCACCGTTTGTGCTACGAAATGGATAACTTGGCTTTACCTTATCCAAGGTTTCACGAATACCTGATTCAGTGATGATCTTGGCCATGTGAAAGAGAGTATTGTCAGGACCGACCGCATGTATTCAACTCCGGTTAGCGTTTAAATCAAGCTCCTCTAACTGATCGCATACGTAGCATCTTGAAGAGGTGGTGATTACTTTCTCGCGTAGAATTTCAGCCTCATTATTTATGCTTCGAGTGGGCTCTCAAAGTACAAATGTACGGGTGATGTACAAGTCAACTTCTGACCTTGTTGCTGACTCATTCACTGAGACAAATGTATTCACTCACACTACAGTGGCCAACTATAACCGTTCACCACCTTGGCATCATGCTATATCTTATCTATGGGTATATCATCTCTAAGCAAGATTAAAACTATCCATCAGAACAGGGGTGGCTAAAAACTCGCAGCTTTGATAAAATCAACAATGCCAGTAGTGGTTGGGACCTAAAGTAGTAGAAACCAGAGACCTGACCAAAGTACTCTAACCAATCAACTCACTCTATGGTAGCGATGTGTAGAGGATTATTTTTTTTATCCACAGGAAACAGGTTGATAGCGACGCTGACATGATGCTCACCGAAGCCGAGTACTGCTTGGCAGCCCATCTAGCCAACAAGTACGCCTCCACAGGTTTCAGTCTTCTCTCCTCGCAATACCCGATGCAGGAGAAACAATCACCCTCACCTTTATTGCAACAGGAGCGAACATCACCATCGAGAAATGCGAGCTCTCCATGTCAACACTTGCTGCGACGACGAAAGCTGAAACAAAACTACCGGGATCCACAGGAGCAAAATCAACGTAACTGTGACTTTGATTATCTGGAGAACGAGGAAGATGATTGCCATGACCTGCTGATCTCACCCGATTTTCGGACTCTGGGTGAGTCGACATGAATAAGCGCTCGTTGAAATTATTTAGGATTCGGTTTACACGTCTATTAGGAGCCACTGGAGGAAAATTCCGAGTCTGCGTTTCCCGTAGTTTTGCATGTGACGTAGGCCAAATGTAAATGTTGACATTTTTTTGGGCCCTTTTTTATTGCGTCCTACTGTATTTCCGCTGCTTTTTGAGTAATCACCACTATTAATTTGGACGGAAATTACCTTTAAGGTTGCGATGAGGGTGGTTACTGTTTTTTTTTTGCATTGTTTTTCTGGTTATCGGGTATGCATCACTATGGTGCCTGAATTTGAAGTCGAAAATCGTTGCTTATTGTGGTGGTGGAGAAAGATTAGAAGAACTTATTCAAGTCGATACACACCCGGCATGGTAAACGTAACAATTTCAGCAGAGAATGTCTACAAATAAGAAAACAAGCGGTAAATTACGTTTTTAGCTTTCTTTGTGGAATGAAGTAAATATAGCTTCAGGAGTGGTTTAACTTTGAAAGTGTGAAAACGAAGCACGTTAGCAGCATGGTTTAATTTGGTCACCATTTTTTTCTGTAGTGACGGAACTATTTTCAAGTCGCTGTATGACAAATGGGTTTGGAAGTATCTTTTTTATTGATGTACAGAAGGGCTGGTGACATTAATAGATCCCTAATTTCCTGTCTCAATCTGGTTCCCGGGTTCTGGGAAGCATGTTCATCAATGAATTTTTATTCAGCTTTGAGTTCTGTCCACACTTTAAACACTGCTTTATACAGGTGCATTGAAGGCTAATTTTATCCTCTGATCCATGTCAAAATAGGCATTGATAGGCAAGCCTTCGCGTCTATTAGAGGTAATTTGAGCACTTGTTGATCGGTCTCGGATATCTCTATCCCCGCTTCAAGGAGGGTCATAGTTAAACCACGTATCACATTTGCATTTGCGCTTTCTAACCCAGCGTTTGTAAATTTCAGGGTGCAGCGCAGCTAATGTTTACACTGTCAAATTTATGCATTGGCACTTGTGCTGGTACTCTAGAGCAGTAAAAACATATGGAAGGATGGGGACGATGGAACAAATTTGTTTTTAAGGGACAATTTCCCTGTTTTTAATGGAAGTAGCATATTTAATGGATTTCAATAGAGCTCATCTGCTACTTCTTTTAAACGATTCATGTTTGGAAATTCATTTGGAAACCGATGCTGTAGTTCAAATAACGTTTTTATCAAAAGTGAAATTGGAGCGACGAGTCGACCAACGAGATATTTCCCAGTGTTTCAATGCTGGCCTTACTCTGCAAATCACTGGATTCCGTTTGCCCACGTGTATTTTAGGCAACCAAAAAGTTTGTGCGGTTTTTTGTGTAACTCACTATATTGGTTTATTGTCATTAAAAGTTTGTGATCGTTTATACGTGTGCACATCAGAGCGTTGATAGTTACCTGCCAGTCTGTCCATGCGAAAAGGCACGGTACCCTATCTTTCTCTTATTTTCAAAGCTCACATCATCAAATGTTGTTGAATGTGGTTTAACCTTGTCTACTGCTTCACAAACTGAGTTTACCTTCGTTTCAAGGCTGCAGCTGCAGAACCTTCTCGTACTGCCCCTTGTATAGCAACTAGAGAGGGTACACTGCACGATTGTGGAACATATCGCCTAGAAAAGGTTTGACATAGCATTTCATTGATGGATTACCAGGTGACGATGCACCATATTCAGGAACGCGCTCAATCCTTGACAGTAAGGAAGGGTTGAGTGCCGCTTCAGATTACAAAGAATCGAGATTGACGTGTTTTAAAGGACTCTCATGGATGAACTGTTGAACGTGATTGCTGAAACAAATTATTTGCACCTACACCAACTGGAAAAGATGTGAAGCTACCAAACGAACGGGTCCGTTGCGAATGTATTAACGAATGGCAGACGATATGCTTTAAAGGCTGTCATTTCGTTGTTCTTCTGCAAAGGTTGCAAAAGCAGTAGGGCATTGTAAATTGACGGCTAAATAACCAACTGATTGGTCTGTGCTCTCTCAAATAATTTTTTCACCACTGAACTGACACTTCATTCCAGAAGACTATTCTTGCGTCGTATGGGTGTAACTCAATGTCATATAGGAAAAGCCTCTTTTAGAAGCAGCTAGAATTAGTCAATTCCTGATGGAGGTCTCTATTTTCTCAAGGCAACCTATTTCGTAAACTAAACAGGGGAAGATTTGGGCTCCAGGAGGCGAGGGATGGGGGCAAAAGTGAAGTATTATCTCATCCTTATCCTATGTAATCCCCTGATTATACTTGTTTGGACGATTATTAACTTTTTTCAGAGTTAAACAGTTTTACCAGAAAGTAGGCGGATGATGAAGTAGAATAGAAAGCTGAGAAAGAGATGGCTAAGGCCATGATCTTTCTTGGCTTTTAGAGACTGGAGTTTTACGAAGGTGAAGCTTTTTAAGTATGTTTTGCTGGGGAAAACTGAACAGGTTATTTAAACGACCTCCTGTAATTAATTTTTCATTGCATTAACCCCGCAAACTCATTCGTTCGGAATGAGTCTTAGTGAACTCTGAATGGTTATGTGTTGGTTCTTTTTGTAGAATTTGAAAGTTTTGTCCTAGGAACGTATACATTACTGATGATCGACAGATTGTTTTATCTAAATGGGACATTGGCCAAGTTTGAAAACGCTCATCTGCGTAAACAGTCTGATCTGTTTTTCAAGAGGTTTATTTCAGCTACTTTGTGACCTTGGATGGTTTTTCAATGCCCCTGTCTCCTGAGTATTTAAATTACCATCGTCTTGGTGCTTGCAATCACTAATTTCTTTTGGCTGACTAAGATGTCAAGGCGCACAATAATCTAATCTTTAGATACTTACATAAGCCGTATTTAAGCACTGTTTTGTGTTATTTGAGTCTTAACCTCATATATCATCCTGTGATCGTAGGGTGAAATTGTTTGGTCTTGAAGTCGATATCAAAGTATGCTTTGAGCTTGACCCGACTCCATTTTATTTGGTGTAAATTGCCTCAGGCGTATCAAATCGAACTACTTATGACAATTTTTGGTTGCATCAGAGTTGCCTCTGGTGGCTTTGTGAGTCAAAAGTATGATTATTGTGATGCGAAGGTATAAATGTGGTGCAAAACTGGAGTTGATGAAGTCTGCAATGTGCACAACCAAAACATTTTACAAGACTGAAGATGTTGTATTGAGGATTTTGATTGTCATAGTAACAGTACGTGTAGCGGATTTAAATAGATTTCGGACCTACACCTAGGAAGCATGTCCAACAGCTTAATGGTGCTCTGAAGCTATCGCATTTTAAATATCCCCCTTTTTATTTAAATATTGGTCGAGGATCTAAATTTTTTTGAATTATTTAGTGAATAATTCGAAATTGCCATTCATACCTCATTGTCGCTCTCATGCTACTCATACATTTACCCGTATTAATATCGGTCACGCGTAGCGTAAGGGACTGCTAAATCTTCGGATTTCATGCATTCATTGTTTGGGCACGAATGCTGAAAGCGCTTCTTTTTCACTGGAGGTGGACCTGAGGGGTTGTGACTTTCTGCGTACTTTTAATTCTCCATTTTTCGGGGGGCAGTGCAAATGTTAGTAACCTTTATTATCCACAATAATGTACTATCCAACCTACTCCCGCAGATATTGTGATTACAGTCCTGCACAACTGACATGAGGACCGTAGCATCGTAGGCTCTAAATGTCTGTAACCAGTTAACAATAGCATGATAGTTTGTAACTTCCCTCCAAACTTGAGACTGACGCTGCACCAGGAGTGACTAATTTCTGAAATTCCAAGGAAACGAAACGCCCTAATTGCGTGATGCAACCAATTATTCTCTTCGTCCCCAGCAACATTAAATGCAAGTTCAAAAGTATTATTACAAGTACACAGAATGGCTGGCAGATTCCCAGAATGGACATCGTGATCAAAATTCAATGCCGCCTGCATGGAGGTCGATTCTGGAAAGAGAAAAACAATCAAAATAATTGTAACTCTCTAAAATAACTTTTTTATACCTTGTCCTCGAGGTTCCCCGTTGGTTCTGTTGATTTCTTCAGGTGCAATTTTTAATGTCCTGCCTTCGAATCATGCACTAAGTATTGTTGGAAGTTGGGAGATGTTCTACTACCCGCATACTCCGTATGTGATTATTTCTTGTAGAAGGATTTGTTTTAAGGTAGAACTATTTAATAAGAAACTACTTTCCGCTTTTCCCCTACTTCAATACTTTTCAGTCACGTATCAGAGAGCACCGGGTTTTCGGATCTAATTCACTCGTCTATTTTGCACTGATAGTGTATTTATGAACCCTTTTGATTCCTTTGAATCTATTTTCATTATGTTACTGCTCATGAGAGGGAACTTAAGATTTGAACCCTTGCTCAAGGTCAACGCATTTTTAAACATTATATGTTCATCCAGAGGTTTATATTAATCTTATTTCTGGCCATTTTCACTTTAATCCACCAATCTATCTAGACCTAAGTTGCGTTTGGTATGCCTCGCCACACTGTCACTACTAGAGTTATCGTCGAAGACGTTAAAAGGCATGAGGTGACGTGGATACAACTTCTTGTCTTGGTGTTCACGGAGATACTGTAAACAACTCATTGGGAAGGGGTTTATTGAATTCAAATCCGGTCTCCATCCATTGCCATCTACTATTTAATACTGGAAATTGGGGTAGCTGTCAAAAATAGACAGGTTTTTGCTAGCTCTCCTGTTCTGAGTCGATCCATATTGGGGCGTCCACAAAAAATGTCTTCGTTTTGCGATGCTATGCTGTTATATACACCCAAGGAGAGCGAGTTGGTTCTTCTGTTTGAGTACGTTCAGAACCGATGCCATCAATACATCACCTGAAATGTCTTTGAGAATGTTACACGGTGTATGAGCTGTGAGGTAGCTTTCTCATTTTCCAGTTATACGATTGACATGGGTAGAGCTCTATTTTGATTCAATGAAGGTCGTTTCTTGGGGAAATGAGATGCATAAACAAATCAAGCATAAGCCATTAAACAAAAATAAGAGTTATTTACGTTACAGACTCAACTTTATTGTTTACTGTGATCGACAGATCATGAAGATGGCAGGTCTTCCTGTACCTCCTCTACAACACCCAAGAATTTTGAGCAGCTAACAGACGATGAAGACGAAGAAGAGGAGGAGGATGACGATCACAAGGCCGTGAGTGACGACGAAATTGGTGTGAGAGCCTTACTTCCTTCTTCAGCTCGCCTCACGCGTCCACCTGCCGATGCGACGGCGCTTTTGTGCGATGAAAATGGAGAGGAGGATAGTGATAATTCCTTTGCTTCTTCCCCCTCATCCACCTCTTCCAGTTCTCAGGGATCTTCCTCCTCACCGCCATCGTCAGTGCCGGTACCACGAGTTGAAAGCGTCTGTTCGGCATCACCAAGGTATTGAAAGAAAGTGCCTATAACCTTATATTAGTCCAAGATAGAATAGTTTAGACTTCTACTAGTGGAAGAAGTGTTTTGGTGAGTGCACTATCGGGGAATCATTGCGAGTCTTGACGTAGGTGATCAGTTGCAATGGTGGCGCGAGCAGGACGCTACTCAAGTGTTTTGAGATTAGCTATGGAACATGAGCGTAGACTCTGGAGAAAGGGCTCTCAGGTTTATTGGTAGCGATGTAACTCTTAAATTTTGGTGAACTTAGTCTATCATATCCTTTGTTGTCCAATCTCATCACAGAGGTTCATTTGTCTAGATCAAAGGATGTTCTAGAGCCAGCCTAATTCTGTCTGATGAATGCGTGATCGTAGCTTTTTTAAGTGGGGACTCTCTTCCTCTTCATGGGTTATAAGCTGAGGATATTTCATTAATTCTTTTATTAGATCCTACATGGCCATAATTTTTCCCTAATACAGTCCCTTGCGGATGGAGTGTTGCATGCAGTAGAAGTGCGGGATGGATAGGGAGTGGCCCGTCTGGGGATAATGGCTAATTGCAAAAGGCATGCCTCTTCGAAAATAAGTCAATCATCCTGTCATCAACCGATCCACGATTCATAATGTGTTTTTGTAGCGTTTGTGAAGGAAGTGAAAAACAGGAGTTTTGGTTGTCTATAATTTTCACGACTTTTTCATTTAATACAAACTAAAACCACTTTTTAATGTCTCACATTAACTTTTACAATGCCATAATTTTTTCTCGACACGTTAATCTCGATTTAACCAATAATGGCACGCGATTTTTCATTATTACCTGGACCAAAGGCTCTTCTTAAATGACTGATTTATCACAAAGATCAAATTGTTGGATTTAGGTCTTTTCCGGGAAGTATGTTTAGCAACGCCTATTCCCAGATGTTATATGAAAAGCTTCTGCGGCCACAACTTTGGAACTGGGTTAAACTTCGTTCTTCAACGTCGATTCGCACCCATCAGGTTAATGCAACCACCAATTGTTGATGTGGGAGTTGGAAATCGAAAACAAACAGTAAAATATATCAGAGACCATCGTGGTGCACCGTATTATCCCGCGCTGACAGCCTGACATGCAACTACCATAGTTACAATGTGGGCACTTATAGGCAACCTCATTTGTTTTAATGATACATATAAGTGCGGATAAATCATTGTAACGAACTGTGCTGACAACCGTCTGAACTGACAATTGTAGAAAACTCCACTGCAATTTTCCTGGAGTTCTGTAAGTTGCCTAGTGCCTTGAGAATCGTCTTTTTGAGACTTTGAGAGCTCACAAGAGTTACAAAAAGGAAGTCTAAAATCGGAGTTATAATCCGGGAATCTACCATTTTCCCACCCATAATGCAGTGTTTTTTTATTTCGTGATGAAATATGCTTTCCGTACGGAAAGAAACTCTTGAATCACTCCAACATTCACCCATGTTAACAAACCTAATTTCATTCTGTAAACTGACCAGTCAAAAATTGTCGCGTGGCATCCACAGACTCGGCTGATTACGGCTTCTTATCTCGTCTTTACGGTTTCCAAACTTTTTTAATGGTTTCTCATGCTTAATTAAAACGTTGAAACCACTGTTGGAAGCAATTTGACGCATAAAACTATCTTCATAAGTCTTATTGCAAGTAATGGAGACCTATTTGTAATAAAGTATTAATGTATGGAAGGGATCGTTTTAACAAATATCCCCCAGCCTGAATTTGAATATACGGTCTGCCGGTTAATCGGCTTACCATCTACATGGCTTGTTACCACTACACTACTGTGTTTCTTGAAGCTTCATTCACATTCCATCCCTTCGTTACACTTTATTTGAACGCTGTCCAGTTATACACCAAAGCCAATGCCATCGCACTAAAAAAATTGCGAGGCGCTGCATTAAACCTTGCTAGTAGTGGAGAAATATCATGGATGATTTATATCCTTGCAGATTTGTATCCTTGCGATTGGGGTAGTTCCAAAATGTTAACACGGTCTTACTTATCAAACCACCAACGTGAATGCCCTCCTTCTGTAATGCTTTTTACACAATCTCTAACCGTTCTGTTTGGATATCCGCCTTCTCTAAGGAATCAGTGGAAGTGTTCATGCACTTTTCGAGAAGTCAATGTGTCGGACGTATCCCACCAAACTGTTATGCTCGAGTCATAAGTTTGTAACCAGTTCGTCATATGCACAAAATGTCTGAAAGACTCATAGCACAGGATTGACTTGAGTATAGCGCCATGACAGCATCGCGGCATTCGAACTGCTGGAGACGGGGAAGTAATTCAACGCTGTTGTAATCTAACATTCTATGGGTGTTTCATTTAATTTTTTGCGGTAGTATCATGTGGTGGAACGTCTCTTCGCTGATTTTCTTTCATGGATGTGTCATATTTCTATAAAGCAGTATATTTGTCTCAAAACGGTAAGGTTTATTTATTAGGAAGTGACGGAGATAATTAAAGCCAAAACAGGTTTTACCACTTCATTCCAGACAACGGCTTCCTTTTACGTGGCCGTAAATACTCGCTCTGCATGTATTGCGTCTGAGGTCTATCTACTTGATCTGGCTCGAAGGTGTGCAGGAACAATGTTCTCTCAGAAGTACGTAGAACTAGTTAATTTGAAAAGAGGAGGAAGGGGAAAGCTTTGTTCTTTCATGCAAACTTAATACCTCATTCTTCACATCCTGCTAAACTGATCCTTGACAAAATTTCCACTTGACGGTGTGAGAAGATAGTCAAGAAGGTATTGCATTTTGTATCATTTCCCGCCCTCATCTCCCAGTTTCATTCACCCGGGTGATTATTATCTCTCCTTATTGTTATTTGGTCACATGCAAAGTGGAGTGGGCGGTTGGGGAAAAAGAGGTAGATGCTAGCAGCGAGGTGCCTAGAGCTGGTATTATTCTTGGCATACGGAGTCAAAATCGTTGTGTAAGGATAAAGTTCATTGCAAATCCAGATTCTGTTGTGAAAGGAGTAGATTAGTAGATTATAGTGGTTGCCTTCTGCGTTTTTAGCTTTGTTTTATAAAATCCTCACATACTCGTTTAATAACCTTGTGTCGGCTTTTGGTGCGAATCAAGTTCGTAATTCAAATCATACATTCGTTTCATTTTTACATCTACACTTTTGTTCATCATTTTAGCTGATTGTCAAAGGTCGGTAGTTTAAAAATATATGGAGGAAATCTTGTCTGTGATATTACTGAATTGTTTTGCCTGATTAATAGTCTCTGATTGGCTGTCTTTCTTGCCCGATGACGAAAGAGATGGGGCTTTTGTTATACATTAAAGAACCTCCTACGTTTTTGAAGGAAGGGGCATTCGTTGATTCAAATTTGCAATTTTTGCCAAGGTATCCAGCGCAGCATTGAGAACGGTGCAATAAGTATGCTCCTACTTTGTGTTTTAATAGACAACTAGGCCAAATAATAGCTATTTCTTTTACGTTCTGTGACAGAATTCTGGCATTTTTTTCGCAAATAGTTCTCTAATTGATGCCAAATAAGGACACTTTATGGACGGGATTGAAAACCTCTGTAATAGTGCCACTTTTCTCTTTACTTTGATCAATTTTTATTTGATTTCAGTGCCGAAGCTCTTGATCCGGTAGAGATTCTGAGTGAATTCACCCATCGGAGTATTGAAGACATCCTCTCCCTCTCTCTCGGTCGTCGACGTCGACTACTAGCTAGTTTAGTACGCGCGGCCAAGTCGACCAACTACACACTGCTACGACTGAACAACGAGTTGGCGGGCGAGTTGCAGGAGCTCTGCGATCAGCACATTAGTTTGAGTGCGCAGGTTCGGCATCTCTCGGGGATGAGAACCTGAAAAGAAGAAGACGAATCCTTTTTCTTATTTCCGACATCTGTACGTAGCTTTGTATCACCCATGAGATTGGGAAATGTCGACTTCAATCCTTTTTTGCTGCCCCCGTCTGTGCCTTGCGTCTACCGCTCCACGTGTATTGGGGTTTACCTGATGAGGTGATTTTATCGAGTGGAAATCTGGATCAAGGGTTTGGGGGATCTGCGGTTATGCTGTTTGGCGGCTGAGTCTGGTGGGAACGGGGGGGGGGGGGCGTTAGGAGGGTGGGGTAGGGCATTCGGTGATGTTGAGCTTTTAAGGTGCGGTGGGGGAGGGGGATCCTGATCGGAGCTTTAAACAGCCAGGATTAAAGTGCATGGCATTTAGTACGATATCGTATCTCCAAATGTCACAAAATTTTTGTCTTCTAAGACCAGTGTATTGGTTTATTTGAAGCAGAGTGGTATTACAGTAGTTGAACTGCTGGCGTTAGAAGATATATTAGCACATAATAATTGAATTCTAATAAGAACGCAAAGATTATATGCGTTGCATTATAATTTGTAAGACAGAATTTTATTTTTCCATATTTGACAATTCTGTTTTACGCAGCCATTTGGGTAGTTTACACAGGAACATCTCTCATCCAATTGGGTAATGAGTGACCTAATGGTACTACTTCAGTTTGAAATAGAATGAACAACGAAAAAGACGTGACGCCTGATTACTCTTTCAAGGTAACAAAACACTTTGATTGCTGCTCAACCTAGTTGGCTCGCCTATTTTATATCACTTCCAACCTAAAACTTGAAACAAACTCTATGCTTTTGGTCGATTTTGTTCAGGAACTTGTTTTTACATCGTCGCTTTGCAGTCATGATAAATTCGCTTTAGAGGATGATATTTTTATAGGGCTTATTAGCTTAAGCACTATCTACTTGGTGTTTGTTTGTCCATATTAAGACCTACGACCTCAAGTACAGAAGCTGGGAATTTATTATTATTTTTGCACAAAATTTTAGTGAGTCAAAACACCTTTTTAAGCCTGTATTACCTTGCTCTTAAGTCAGTTTTTTATGTGTTTCGACGCTTTACTGATTTTAATTTGTCTTTCTTAAGCTGCTTTGAGGGAACCGAATTTTGAGAATATTTATTTACTCAGTGAAACCAGGGTATAATCTTCCTTGATTTCTGTCATTTTTTCCTTTTTTGCAAGATCTTTATATAGTTTGGCTTTACTAAGACTTGCTGAACGTCGGTTGTATGTGATTTATATGAAGTGCTTCTTTATTCCACTCCCACATAATGCAAATTTGATCCACTTCTCAACCGTGAAACCAAAGTTTGTTAAACCTACGTTTATTCTTACAATCTAGGCACACCCTTTTTAAATGATTATTTGAAACGAACTGCACAATTGTGTTGCAATTTCTTTTAAAGCGACGATGAGTTTGATTCCATAAAGTTAAGTTTTTTGACTTAATTTATTTACAAATGCACAGATTAGCAAGGATGCCTTAGAAATCTGCATGATTTGCTCGAGTAATTTAAGGGTTTTTTGCAAATTGAAAGGCAAAGCCATATATTAACTTATACTTAAAATACTTCCTTTTCTTTTTAAAGGAGAAGGTTGCATGTTTTCTTAGCTTAATTCACTTTGGCTTGTACTACTGGATTTAACATCTTTAGTTTATAAATGGAACTACTATTTAAACTTGAAATAAGGATTCTAACCTTTTAGAAAGATGATATATTTAACCTGTTAGTATAGTACATGAGCTTGCAATTGAAAAACACAAGTCTGTCTTCGTGAGTGATAATTTCCTTTTCAGATCCGTGACTTCGAGGACTAGCCTTGTCCATAAATTTTTCTTAAGAATTCTGCCACTATCCAACAAAATTGTCGGCCTCTTAGAACAAAATAACCAGTAATCTAATGACTCTGGTCTGACTGTCCCATTCTAATAGCACAAAAGGCAAGTCCAAGACAAATGCAATAAATGCATCTTACTGCTGTATTTGAGAACTAATCTCGGGCCCATTGTAAAATTTTAACCACTAGTAAAGCACAAACGAACCAAGTATAAGTGGTTATCAGTTTAGAACCACACGAAATAAATCGGTATTTCCCTAGATATACTAATAATTTTTTTTGCTAGTTAAAGAGTTTTATATCCATTATTCTGATAAGCTTGCTCGATCTCAAAGTTAGGCAGCTTGAACGATTTTTCTTGGAAGCAGTAGGAGGAAGAAGGGCGATAAATAAGTGCAAAAAACCCACTAAAGCAAAGTCAATATTTTTTAAAGGAAACCATTTTAGATTGGCTTAAAGTCAACCAAATTTTTAAAGTTCCTTTATCACTGATTTATACCAAAAGGGTAGGAAAAATCGCCTTAAAACACATTTGCACATTCCAATAACACAGTTCAAACATATTTATAATCTTGCTGATTAGAGTAATGTAGGACAGTCGCCTTATGAAGTTCACCAAATTACTAATCTTTTAAAAATCAATGTAGTGCAGGAAAATGCACATCAGTAGTTCAATTTCATAATCGTATTTCGAGAATAATTGCCTTTGTTTACACTAGCTGCGGCACTGCAAAACCAAAAAAAAACATTTTTCTACAAAGTCCTTTTAATATACTTATTAATTAGGCCAATTTTTTAAGAGTATTGTTAAAATTTCGGTGGAATTTTCAACTTTATATTTTAAATTGGTTTCAGCTATATATATATCTGATATACGTATGCATATGCACAAATAATTGTTTGAAGCAATTTTTTTCATAGTATATAAATTGCAAACCACTGGTATACCTTGATTAACACCATAAGTTTATAATTTCTGCATATCACACGCAAGAAATCAGAGTGTATTTATTAGTTCTTAAGGAATCGAAATAGCAACAATCTGAACTTAAATTATATTGCTTCTCCGTAGAAAACTCGGTTTTACTTTCTGCAATAAAAAGATGCTTTTATGGTACGAACATTTCTTGCAAATTTTTACGGCTAGGAATGAATGCTACAAAGAACTAAAAAATATGCACAAATTTGTTTGAAGCTGATCTAATTATTCACAGCTAAAAGTTTCGACATGTTAAGACAAAGTTAATTTACCCAATTACAACATGCCATTCCTCACTATTATCAATAATGAAGTTTCCTTTTGAGGCACCTTCATAAGGCAGCTATTCTGAGTGATTCATGACCAAAAGCAAATTGTATTGCTATCCCATCTGAATTGCCATACCTTCTATGTATGAAGTTATACAAGAAGATTCTGCAGCTTTTGGACCAAGTTTGACTCGGTTTGTAAAGTGGAAGACAAGCTCAAAGCACATCCATCAAAGTGATCGAAATATGATTGGATGGTGGAAGTCTAGATTAATGCACATAACATTTTTAGGTCACTGCTGAAAGTTATACCAAAAGCTGCACAAACTTAATGGGGAAAATTGCTATAGGGCGGTATTGCTTAACAACAAAGTGTACGGAATAAATGACCACGGACTCTACTAGCTACTACCAATATTCTTAATGGAACATGAAAGCGCAAAGGAACGAATTGCTTTAGTCATGTTTGCTGATTTGCTTTTTGTATTTGTGCAGGAAAATTCACAGTCCATTTGCTTTTCATGCCTCATTGTTTGTGAGTACAGTATTCTTACACTCTAGCAACAACTTACATAAGTAATTTACATTTTATAGTAGAAACGGTACATTATATTCCTTTCAAAACATGCAAAGAAGGTAGCTTAGCCCATAAAATTCTTTTCCTTGAGATCCTATAAGAACAGGGTGAAAGTGATGATGAGTGTCTTCTTCGACTTATCTTCCGGTCAAACAAAGTTGTGGTTTATGCATAGTGAAAAAAAGACAAAACAAACTGTTTTCCATACATTAAAAAAATGTGCCTTAACTCAAATGCTTAAACACTTTAACGTCATTTAAAATAATTTTCTTGGTAAACTCAGAAGCTTACACATTTAAAAGTGTTTAAAACAAAGTCCTAAATTTTAATCTGGGTATAAAACTACCTCAGCAGTTTGAGCTAAAAGTCCACAATGTTAATGAATCATAAGTATTTGGTGTATTCACCCCAAAAAGATAAATTTTGTTAGTTTTTGCCAGTTTTGCTTATTTTTACATGAAACTGTTGTTGAGCTTTGAAGAAAGTTTTGCGTCAGCTGGCAGCATCTATACTTCACTGCGATAACATATGGACCCAAGAAAATCTAGTCATACTTACCATACCTCTTCAAATCTTCATAAAGTGCAGACAGAGGGATTTAAATTTGCCAAATACAACAATTTCTCTACCAATGCTTACATTTTCGAGCAAATAAGCTTGAGATTTAAAGACTAGAACCAGAAACAATTTGCCGATTAAAGTTGCAGTTTTGAAATTTCCAATTTTCTTCCTGGTCAAATTAAGTCGCTGGCTTTCCGGAGTAGTTCTTATTTTTGAGTTATAAATTTAAGTCATAATTTTTACAAAGAATCGATTTTTGAGCCATTAAAATAACTCCTTCTGCCTAAACTCTGACCTTACCTATTAAGTAAACTGACAGCGATTCTTTTGACAGTTTTTAAAAGAGAATACTTAATCGCTTTCCTAGAAGGATCTGAAATAGTATTAACTCGTTATAGGAAATAAAAGTTATGCTTGATTACGTTAATTCAAAATGAGGAATTACACTGTTGTTTGGACAACCAGACACAGCGATAAACATAAAAATATTCGTTACCGCTTATTTGTTAACTAAATAAGGCATCACTTCGTCTTTTGCAGCCTACCTTAAATGGCATCTTTTCTTGTAATGCGCATTGCTGATGCATTGCTGCCCCTACATACGCATAGCTTGAAACTCTTTGCTTCGTACCTTATCACCTGTTCCCATTTCATTGTTAGTGATTATTTTTACCTACTTTACAACAAAGAAGTTAGTGTTGAGGACTCATGGATTGGCACTTTTATGAGTCTCTGTCAGTTACTTAGATCCCATCTGGGACGCAAAACATACACATATAATGCCGAACTTGTAGTGACTGTAAACCGGAGCACAAAAAGGACAAATTCTCTAAATAAACCTTCCCTAAACTCATTTGTCTTGTATTTATGATTGCGACTGGAAGTTAGAAACACTGCCTCCACAATGAAGGTATGACAATGTAAGGATTTTTAGACCTCTGCGCAGAAAGCTCTAGGGAGGATGACACACAGTGAGATAATTTTGCACTTCCGGAACTATCTATACCCACAAAAAGTACATGGAGAGGTAGTGCTCATCCTTAGGATAATTTATTTATAAATCCCGCAGCAATATTCTTTTAAACCAGGACTTTCGCATTTTTATTTGTAAGAAGGTGAATTTTTTGGATGTTTTATTAAATCTACGAAAGCAATTAAATCTTATATTTCGTGACAAAACATGTATTTGTAATATGTGATAGCGGCGTCAACTAACATCTCATTATAATCATACCGTTCTAATTAAGTGGCAGTTAGTTGAATGCAGCCACTACTGCTTTGACAAACTAGGTGAATGGTGCTTTAAGTGTAATAAAAAAGACTGACTCTGGAATTATCCGTAACCATCATTGTACTTTGAAAGAGTGAACTTTAGCATTACCTTTACAATTAGTTGTCTGTGGGGTCGAAAGGAACAGAAAATTAAAAAATGCCCAATTCTAAGACCTACTGTTTAGTACATGTTTATATAAACCTGCCTTTTGGTGAAAACTTTGTTGAATCTTATTTTATCGAATCATAATATCGCTTTACTCCTGCTAATTAGTGTGCCATGTCAATTCAAAAATAACCATAAATTTAAAATTTTATATCTAAATGCTAAAAAGTGACAGTCGAAATGAATGACAGGTCAAATAGAGATGCATCTCAACTTTTTGAAATAATTCAGGATTTACAAGAATAACAGCTGACATACTTATTGCTTCAAAGTTCTTCTTCTATATATACAGCAATTAAATATGCCTTTTTCACATTCAGGTTAAATAAAATGCATAGTGAGTGAGCCCTCTTTGCATTGGAAGCTGGCTTTATCTTCACTCATATCCTCCTTTAATATTTAATGCTTAGCTTACAAATTTGTGGTAAAGTTATACATTTCGGGTTCCCCCTAAAACATCCATGGAAGTAAAAAAACACTTTAGATCTGCGAACTAGTTTGGTATCTGACTACTGGATATCCCTAAGGAGTAATGAAAGTTTACCAAAACAATTCAAAAGGCTTGCATAAAACGTAATGTAAACTTGGGATAATTGTTACTGTAGAAGACCTCGTGAACACAAAGTGGCCAGGAAAATAATTGAAAATGCTCAACTAAACTGTATTTTAGCTGCTACTACTTGGAGATGCGTTTGTTGGCAAAACGTCCTTACTGATTCGGTTTAAGGACAAGACATTCCTTAAGGGCAGCTACATTTCCACCGTTGGGATTGACTACAAGGTAAGTTGTGTGTTAGTTTACTTGGTCAATTTTTTCTCTTTCTAAAAACGTTGTTTAAAAAATTGCGTTTCCAACGGTAACACCTATTAGTTTGCCCGTGGACGCTGATTCGATTTTACAAAATGGAATTCTTCAAGAGTGTGAATATTAACTTTTGATAATTACCTCGAAGCATAGCTTCAAATGACCTTTTTAGGTGATTTGAGACTAATTTGTATCTCCAAATTTGCATGCACTGCAGAAAAACTCTTTAAACAGGAGATCATAAATGCCTCTCTACGCAAATTTTATTCGTGATTTATTCGAAAATGAACTTCAAATTTCACCAAGCCCTAATAGCTTTCATGTTTAATGCCAAATAGATGCGGAATATAACTAATGTTGGCGCAATATATTCGGCAAAAAGGTTTGGAACTGATTAATGTGGTAAATGTTATTTTTTGCATTATGAGCAGGCTATTTAAATCAGAAATACCCTTAAATGTTTAAAATGAAATATCTTGATTTGTATTATTTGCGCTTTAAAGACAAAAAATCTCGTCATAAATTGAAGAGCAGCTTAAAAGGGGGTATTTTTGTCCAAAATGTAAAAGTACTTTTAAATAGACATTTCTCTCCGCAGTGGAGAACTTGTTATTCCACCACTGCCCAATTAGTCACTTGGGAATTGGCCAATTATTTTAGCTAATTTCGAAGAGCATTTAAATTATGAAACCAGCCCATGTAACCCTCTGTAACTACATATTAATCCTAGCTTTTTGAAATGACTAAAAAGCGCCAGAGAAAATTTAGCCCACACTATCTTGGTGTTTGATTTGAGGCCACTTTTATTAAAAATGAGACATATAATACAAATAATGGGATTAATTGAACTTTCCATCCTGTAAATAGTCAGTCCTTTTGTTGTTCATTATTACACTAGCATTAACTGAAAGGGTAATATTTTTATCAAAACATTATTCCCCTTGATAATTTCCCTTCAACATTATTGTCTAAATTTGGCAACTTTGTCACGGAGTAACAAACTCTATCAAAATGAACGCTGTCGATTGGCTGATATTCTGGTTTAAATATGGCCTAAATGATGCCCTAGGCAAATTAATTTCTTTTTCTTGATAAGATAAAATTTCAGCGATTTGAGTGGATGACTTAGATAGCAGAACACAATTTCTTCACCCTGGCTTTATCACACTTAATGGCTCTCTACGCGAAAAGAGAATGATGAAGAAGATCTAATCCCGATCTATTTACAAACCTTATACGGATTATCAAGTGGTCACTTAACACTCAGTCCAATCTCATGGCTGTCACATTCACCAAATATCCGTTACTTCAAATAACTAGAATTGCTTTATGTAACATCTTGCAATTTTACAACCTTGACTACAAAATTGCAGCAAATATGCTTGCAAAAAATAAGATGCTTTTAGTACTAAATTTACTTTAAAAATGACTTGATTATTATAAGCATTCATTCTGCAGTGGCTGAGTCTTTCACTCGGTCCACCACTGTAATCACACTAATTGGCCAAAAAGCGGTTTGTTGAAGTACGCATATCCTTTTAACATGCCCTGTCGAAACGCCATGTCCAGCTTTAAGTTATTTGGTTCAAGTTCGAAATACTTTGTTTGTGTATTCGTAAGACTCGAATAGCATTTATGCGAACGCTCTGTGGCAGTGCACATTTTGAGGAGGTCCTTTAATGGGAACAAAAGACAATATTTATTTATAAAACTGAACTCGAATTCATTCACATAATAGAAGAGGCTATAAAGCAAAATTAGGGTGAAAATATTGGACAGTTCAGATTTATTATTTCTGTCTTACTTTGACCTTCAAGTTTAAGTGCACGCTATTAGAGGTAATAAAGCACTTATTTGAAAATTTTTGTAATTAAATTTTACGTACTTTAATGCATTAATTAAAGCACATAAGAGAAAACTACTTAAAACCGATCAACTGAGCTAGTGAATAATGTGTTTAGCTCTAAAAAGCATCAAGAGTAGCTAGAAAATAGCCAAAATTGACAGCTAAAAACCGAGCGATTGGAAAATTGGAATGACACAAACTGGTTGAGTCTACAAGTCATAACCACGATCAACACTGATTGCCCAAAAAACCATACAAAATTAAGAATAATGTCTTAGTGGCAGTTCATGTAGTCAAATACCCTACACTCAGCAGCAGTCTTTCAAGCCTTCCTAGATATTTGCTTCGAT